TCCTTGGGTTCTTCCCATTCCTCTTTCCCTCCTCCCAGTCCTTTTGGTACCTACTTGATGTGCTCTGTGCGTCCAGACCCCTCGATGGTCTTTGCTCCCCACCGTTGTTCCTTCTCAGAGATGTCATTCTACAAAAGACAACACTCAGCAATAAGTGATGGCAAGAAATGTGCCAGGCTGAGAGAGGCCACACAGCTGACACACATGCCCCCCACGTCCACTGCATCAGCTGCTTCCGGCACTCAGGGACTTTACTCAGACTCCTCTCTGTGCTTATCCCACCCATGCCCCCATGTTAAAATTAAGCTGGTGAGCTCTGAAACCTCCCTTTCTACTCTGCATCCCTCAAACTTTCTTCTTTAGGTCTCCTACAACTTCCGAATTCCCCCAAATTATACATGTCCAGCTCAAATCCTGGCTCACAGGCCAAAGGACACCCAGTTAACCTGTTCCCTCAGCATAGCCTGCCATAGCCTGTCAATCACAATGTCAAACTCCTCCGCACCTGTCTCCTTCCATCCTCAGCACAGGCTGTCATGCAGGCCCCACTCATGACAGCAAACTGTCCTGCCAGGCAGTCCCACCATGAGAGCTATCCCAGTCCCAGACTTTTTCTAAGCCCCCTCGAGGGTTACAGAGTGGCCTACTGCCCTTCATTGTCCAAGGAAAGCTATTTCCACACTCACCACAAAGTCAGGGTCTGTGTCCCAATCATCACCCTGGGTCTCCACGGAAACAGATACATCATGACCTACTACAGACTTCCACATCTGAGGGTGACAGAAAATGGGAATGATTAGGTGAAAAAATCAAGAAGAGGGAAAACAAGAACGCTGAAGTCAATGATATAGCAGCCAAAGTTTCATGCTATTTTTTTCTTAGAAGAAAAGAGAATCTGAGGCAAAGCAGATGGAAGTTTTAGGAAAGCACTTTTTCTCAGTTAGAGGAAAGGGGATGTGGATTTATTTAAGACAAACTAATGTGGCCTGGGCTCATTAGTCTGGACAGAAGTCATCATGAGTGTACGTAATACTAAATAACCTGGGTGTCAAAATGGCTGAGATCCTTCACTTGTGTCAAGAGGCCAGCCAGCTAATGGCTTGAAGAGGTAATCAATGAGGATTGCTAGAACATCCCTGGAATTACAGCATCATTTCACTCAGGTATGTACATATAACTTCTTTCATAGTTCTTGATATATATATATTTGTCCAGCTCTTGATAATGTGAACATCTACACTCCTCTCTACAACCCGCTAAATGCCACTGAGAATTTTTCCAACCTCCACTCTGAGACTGGCCACTGCACAGCTGTGTGTCAGTAGGGGCACTCAGCTGAAATTTCTCGACTGAACAATGCATGAGGAAGCATTATTTGCTGAGAATAATTCAATTATTGTTCAATTTTTAAAAACAGTTTAATTATACTTTGAAAGTAGATAACTGGTTCAAAAAAGAGCATGTAATAAGTCCCTTGTTTTGAACATTAAGAATTATTTGACTTTTATTAACTAAATAAATGTTAAAGAAATATTTAGAGAACACCGCTTTGAGGGGGTGTCAAATTGTTATTCCACTAGGGCATCCCCAGTGTTTCTGCTGGCCCTGCCAGTCCTGCATGAGGAGCTGCACAGGTGCTCTGCATCTGTGGGATCCTGGATCTTGGTGTGGAGAGGAAACAACAGACAATGCCCATCTGTTCTGGTGCTGAGATTTCTTAACCCTGGTACCACGTGCTGGCTGGCAACTCCCTTCCCACCCTTCCCTGCTCAGACTCCTTCCCCATACTCTTTACTGTCTTTTAAATGAGCTCATCTTAAAACCACTCCTAAGACCCTCCAGTCTCTCCAGAGAGGTGCTCAGACTCTCCAATTCTCCTTTCCACTGGAAAACTCCATCCTTCTCCAGCTCTTTGAAAAATCCCTTGGAAACCAGTCCAAGGGAAATCTGGGGGTAGATTGGTTAACAAGATGCAAAGAGGACACTGGGGAAGTATGGACCGAGCCAGCTGGACTGTGGGATGAGTCACTGCCAAGAGCAGTTCTGCCTTCCCCTGTGGGGCAACAGTAATGCACTGGGGGGGGGGGCACGTTGATAAGACCTATGGTCCTGGCTCCTGGGCTGCTCTGCAACAAAAGGAGTTCACACAGAAAACTGGAAAAGAGAAGTTTCTGAAATATTCGCGAGCAATAAGGAAGCAGTGAGGACCGATAGTCCTGCCCTCTTTCTTGCTGTTCCTCCCAGGTCTCAGCTTGACTCTCCCATAAGCCTGCCATCCTCATGTATTTTTGAAACAGAGGGAAGGGTTTCTGACCCAGAGACAATTTAGTATGCTTGAGTTACTGGCTGGAAATAGGGAAGCCAAGAGGCACTATCTAGAGGTGGGAGACCAGAGAATAAGTCGGTGAGGCCTGGTGGCCAGGATATCAGGCACAATCGAGGGCCTCTTCTTGAGGCTGCCTGAGTAAAGTACACGGACAGAGAGTCAGATCATCCAGCTCTGTGGGAATATGGGTTAGGGAGTCAAAGTAGAGAGGGTATGTACTTATTTGCCAGGTACCAGGTTAGGCAATTTACAAATATTAACTTAAATAATTTGGTAAATCACTGAACTTCTCTGATACTATTTTTCCCAAGGGAAAATAAATGGAGAGGTTAACCTCGCTAATTCATCAAGTCCCCTCCATTTCTGACATTCTGGGATCCTGTGACCCTACAATCAGAGAAACTAGCCCTAATCGAACCGTCACACCTTCATCTGGCACTTGGTTCTCAGCACCGGTGTACATTAGCTACCACTACTTCCTGATCTGTTGCAATGTCTCCTGTGGGGTTTGTCTCTCTGCTAGACCATAAGCTCTCCAGGGGCAGCGACTGTCTCATCTCCAGTGGTCCTCCTCCCAGCTCAGTGCCTAGGACCATCGGGCCTTAGAGAGGATTGTAGATTGTCGGCAGAAACCAGGGGTCCTGGATGGCTGCTGGATTGCGTTCCCTGGACTCCAGCGTCTCCCTTCTGCTTCCATCCCCAGATTCTTGTTATCCACAAGACCTCACACCCAGGCCGGCCTTCTGGCCATGAAAGGTTAGCAGCTTACTAGCAGGGACTTCACGGCTCAGCAAGGATGAAAAGCCAGGCAGAGTCCTCTCACTTCAACTCTTGTCCTATGCTCCCCAACTTTCCCACTGCCCGAAGTACCCACCTTTAACCGCACAAGCGTTTGCTCTAGGCTCTCGGCTCAAGTAGACACTCAGCTCCTCTCTAGCTGCTGCCACTTCAGAGCAAGAAACTCTGAGCTGCTGCTTCAGTTCCGTATTCAGGTTTTCTGTCATTTCCTGCTACCCTGTCTTCACAGCTACTTCCTGAAGTTTGAGTCAGTTCCTTCTGCTGAGGCATTGAAATAAATAAGGATTAAATGCTCTGTGCTTACTCTTTTGCAAGGCTTTGAGGGTTCCAGAGGTCATAAAAAAGTGCTGCTCTTACTCTCAGAGTCTATAATCTGGTCAGGGGAGCAAAACATTCAACTAGAAAGCACACAGAAGAATGCTGTACAACACTATTTGTGTCCTAAATAGGTGGGCAATTGTATCTGTTTATATTGAAGAAATTTAGAGAATTTGGTATGGGCTGAAGGAATCAAGAAAGGTTTAATGGAAAAAAATGATTTTTATGTGATTTTGAAAGATAAGATTTAAAAAGAAAGTCACTTCCACATTACGCACAGTACTAAAAACTGGGGTTTGCATACAGTAGATGTTCAAATAAACATTGATCAATCAAATGATGGAAGGGCATAACTCATAGGGGAAAGGCAAGACATGGTGGGAGGAAAGTTCAGAGACTGTTTAGGGGGCAGTGAGGAATGTGAGCTAATTCAGAAAGATTTGGTCCCAGGTAGTAGGAAGAAGTCTGAAAAAACTAAGTGGTACCAGATGATGGAAGGTCTTTGTGGTATTCTGTATTACTCTTCTGTAAGATTTGCTGCCCCTCCCTTCCCTCTTGAAGTCAGACTTGCTCAGGTGACTTTGTTTTGACCAGTGAAATGTAAGAAGTGAAACATCAAGTGAGACTTGAAGTGAGACTTCAAGACCAGCTCAAGCTTTGCTATGCTCCTGTGTCCACTGCTTACCAAGTGTGAATGAAAAAAATGTTGCCTATCATTATCAGTAAATAAAGGATGCTGCAGCTATCAAGCCACGAGTGATGCCTGAGGGGAGTCAGGATGGGAAAGAACAGGACACTGGCCCTAGATAGCTAAGGTGCATATCAATGAGCCCAGACTCTTATCTCCTCCCATACACAGAAAATTAACTTGAGATATCTGTTTTTCTTTCATTAACAGTAATCTTTTGAAGTTCCGACTATCTGGTCTTTGCAAAAACTCCTATATATCCTGGCTCCTCCCTTACCTCTTCAGAGCAGTCCCTCAGAGCATCTGAGAGGCTGCATCCCGGGTTTAAGTCCTCAGTTTTGTCTGCCAAATAAAACATAATTCTTAACTTTTAGGTTGTGCATTTTTTTCGCAGTAGACACAAGGCAACCTGCAACTCTCCAGAGTGGCTCCTATGGCAGCCTAGGTCCCTGAGTGAGAGGGTCCCCAACGAGGAATGACAATACAAGTAGAGCTCCATCCATTGTGTGAGGGACTTGGAGTCTTTAACTAAGAAATAATCCTAAAAACTAATTACTGTTTTAGCTACTGAGAATTTGGGGGTGTTTGTTACTGTATCTGACCAAGCCTCTCCTAATCTTGATTGACATGGAGTCCTAACCTGATTTGCTCAGTTGTGGGCTCCCCAATGGATTCAAACAGATAATGGATGAAATGTGTCCAAGATACAGAGGAGGGGATTTCTGCATTAGGAACGTAAGACTTTAGTCACTTCCAAATCTAAGGATTCTACACCTAGCATGGAGATCAACTGATTATTTCTCCTACTTCATAACCTATTTATTATGGCAGCACCAAAATTATTTTAAGGAAGAGTAAATTTGTAGAAGGAAAAAAAAATCTTTTAGAACATTTTAAGTCCTAATTTTGGGTCAAAAATAGAAATGATCAGACCAGATATTGTGACACACCATCCAGATACAGCTGTTTAGAGAAATCATAGAATTTAATCATAGATGACAAGAAAGCCCAACTTGGATAACAAGATGTGGTACATACATACAATGGAATACTACTCAGCCATAAAAAGAATGAGGTAATGCCATTTGCAGCAACATGGATGGACATAGAGATTATCATACTAAGTGAAGTAAGTGAGAAAGAGAAAGCCAAATACCATATGATATCACTTATATGTGGAATCTAAAATATGACACAAATGAACTTATCTACGAAACAGAGACAGACTCACAGACATAAAGGTCAGACTTGTGGCTGCCAGGGGGATGGTGGGGGAGAGGGATGGGAGTTTGGGATTAGAAGATACAAACTATTATATAAAGAATGGATAAACAAAAAGTTCCTACTGTATAGCAGAGAACTATATTCAATATCCCGTGATAAACCACAATGGAAAAGAATATGAAAAATATGTATAACTGAATCACTTAGCTGTACAGTAGAAACTAACACAACATTGTAAATCAACTACACTTCAATAAAATAAAATTAAAAAACAATCAAGGGCTTCCCTGGTGGCGCAGTGATTGAGAGTCCACCTGCCAATGCAGGGGACACAAGTTCGTGCCCCGGTCCGGAAAGATCCCACATGCCGCGGAGCGGCTGGCTCCATGAGCCATGGCTGCTAAGCCTGCGCCTCCGGAGCCTGTGCTCCACAACGGGAGGGGCCACAACAGTGAGAGGCCTGCGTACCGCAAAAACAAACAAACAAACAATCAAGTCCACCTCTCCTTAGCAAATGTCCCAAGTTCACTCTTTTGGGGTTTTTTTTGGCCGCACCGTGTGGCATGTGGAATCTTAGTTCCCTGACCAGGGATCGAACCCGTGCCCCCTGCATTGGGAGCACAAGTCTTAACAGCTGGACTGCCAGGGAAGTCCCTCAAGTTCACTCTTGATGAGAGGCAGTGAGACAATAGCAAGCATGGGCCTTAAAGCCAGATAGATGTGGTTCAATTTACTTATTGTACCTTGAGAAAGTGAGCTAGCATTTCTCAAGCAGTGACTTGATATAAACACATTATAATGCCCATCCTGCTTTTCCCCTATGAGACTTCCCTTCCCCCACTCCTACCCAGAGGGATCCCTAGGGACAAAATGATTTCAATATGCACCAGACAGTTCTCCCAGGCCCAGGCAAAAACCTGCATGAATCTCATGCCCTAAGGCATGTTTGGTTCAGTATTAGGATGGAATTTCCTCACTCTGCTTCACCACCCTGGGGTCTAGCAGCTAAGGCTAGGACGCAAGCAGCCAGATGCTGGCCAGTGAGAATGAAGCCTGGATATGCAGAGCTTTCTACTCCTATGGTAATTCCTGGCTACTCCATCCCTACTTCCTCTATGTACCTTCCTCTCCTCAGCATGCACACACATATATGTAAGCACCTGTGTATACATGCATTTACACGCCACCACAGTATTTCATTCTGAAAATAATTTTATTATTTTACAGTTGTTCAGGAAAGTTCCTGGGTTGCTGTGACCATGATTTGGCCACCACAGAACAAAGGATTAGAGTGGATCAGTCCGTTCACCAGTTTTCTCTCCTCTCTGGGTGGTGAGAGCAGGCAGGGAACATGTGCAAAATGAGAAAATAACCAACGGGTAAGGGTTGGAGAAAGGAGAGCTGGGGAATAGGCACAAATGGAATTCAAACCCAGCTGTCATTCTCAGGCTTGGATTTAAATATTTTGTCTTCTCTATAATCTCCCTCCATTTTCCTCAGCTCTCTGTTACCGCAGAAGGCAGATGACGACGCAATGAGAAACTGGAATAACTGTCACCAATAGCAAAGCAGCTTCGTACTTCAAGCGGCTAGGAGTGGTTGTCACAGCAGTCAGACCTCCCTGGCTGGGAGTCAGTGCCTCACCTAGGACTGGTTCCTAGTGTACTGTCTTAGGGTCCACATTCGAGGCTTATTCAGATAACACACAAATGACAAGAATTGAATCCCACTGTCCATAGCCAGTTCCTCTTGCCTTTCAGTGAAAGGAAAGGCACAGGCCACTTAATACTTTAGTACACATGTGATGAAGGGATAAGCAGTGGGATCCTCACCTTATAGTCCAGGACCATGACTCTCACTCCAATTATGCCTGAACAGCCAGGAAAAGAGACGCCGTCCTCCCCTGTGATCCAACAGCTAAAACCCCTGGGGAGTTCTTCTATTCTGGCTCTATTTTGCCAGAGACCTAATTAGATATCCTATGAGATAATGTTCCCCAGAACATTCCCCCTGCCATTGTTTATGGCAGGTTCACCTTCCCTCTGAAGCAGGAGAAAATATAAGGTACATGAGACAAAGAAAGTATCAATCAAAATGATATTGGACTTCTGATTATTAGGTTTATTGGAACCATCCTCCTGGCTGAAAGACATTCCTCAGCATCTTTCATAGGACCATAAAAGATCAGGGCCCTGCAAAATCTGAACAAATATTGGGCTCAATAACCAACTGTGGGGCCTCCTCAGATTATGCAGAAGTGTCAGGTCCTGGACAGTAGAAGAAAGCAGACTCACTGGTCCCTGCAGCTCTAACCTGTGCTCATATCCACCTCTGTTTTTGCAGGCACTTTCTGTGGAGAGTTGGAGAGAGGACCTGTAAGTGGGAAGATCGTTCCATTGGAATTGATGGTTTTGATGCTAGAGGTGAGGGAATTCCAAGTTCTGAGGGGACTGATCCAAAAGGTGAGAACCAGGTTTATAGATGGCCTGTGAAACATAGAACAAGTAGGACATGAACCATCAGAAAGTAGATGGCTGCCAGCAGTGGCACCCGTGTCCGGGAATGACAGAGCGAACGCAGGACCCGCTTCCATCCAGCACCACTCCGGGTCTGAAAGGAAAATTTGAAAGTCAGAGAGGTTTGCCCCATAGAGATCTGTCCCTTTCCCTTCTCCAACCACTGTAGAAAAGAGGTAACCTGAGAGAAAGCCCCTCGGGGCCAACGATTTGGCAGCTTCCACTAGTTTCTTCCAACCTTCCATACCCTTCCAGTCTCAGGCCCACATTCCGCCTCCTTGACCCCTTGCCCCTCAACACAGCCAGCCCTGTCTGAGAGTACAGTACCCTCTCTTTATCCTTCCCCCTTCTTACCCTTCGACAACTGTTGCTTGTAAGATCTATTAACAGTGCCTGCTCCTGGGAGCCACAGGAGCCAATGATAGGAGACCGGGCAGAGTCCCATTCACCATGCTCCAACCTGTGTTGAGAAAAAAAAGAGGCATTGGTCCACGGCATGAGAGGCTGATGGCCTTCTTGTCATGTGATGCAGGGTAAGGGACTTGCAGCAAGGGCTGCTCCCACAGCCCCACCCCCATGCAAGGAGTGTAAGGGCAGACAGATTTCTTTCAGCAGCCGTAGAGCTGGTAATAATTACCAGGAATTGACTGCCTACTGTGGATCAGATGCTGGATTACGTGCTTTACATACATCTAATCCTCAGGTTTGAGGTTGGTGCTATTATCTTCAAAGTAAGGCTTAAAGAGGTGAAAAGTACTTTTCCACAGTGGCACAGCTAGTGAGATGTAGAGCTAGAATTCAAAACCCAGGTGTGTCTCTAAACCTCTGCTATACCACACCTGACTCAGAGAAGCTCATTAATTTTTTTTCCATTTATTAAAAGCTAATAGGCAAAAGCATCCAAGAAAGATTTTTGTGGGGTTCTTACAATTAAACTGAACTGGCAGCCTCTACTGCTTTCTGCTTCATTTTTTGTTGATTTGCTTATTTATTTAATACTGGAACTTCTCCATTTAGTGAAGAAGCTGCCTTTATCCACTCAATGGTTTCTCACAAAAATGAGAAATGTATCAAGGGGCTGTGAGTAAACATAGCGCACACTTGATCAAGCATTTGCCTAGAGGGATGCACTTTTAATCGTGGTGGGGAGGATGGAACTCTACTGATGTTTCCTCCATGTGAAGGTATGTCCATTAGCCTAAAACTCCTGGACTTTCTTGGCAGGGCCCACACTTTTCTCCAGGAGAGAAGGAACACTTTAATCTGATTTGTGAGCCTGGAAAGAGAAACTGAACATGCCCAGCCTAGCTCCATCCTGCCTCATGAGAGGCTCCATCCAGGCTGGCTGCACAGGACCCCTTCTGTGTCTGTTCCTCCATAAGATAAGCTTTTCAGGGGCAGCCTTGATGCGGACAGAATGGTCTGGTACCGTGTAGGTCAGTCTGTCACCTTCTGCAGGCTAGGCTGAGGAAGGAGGAGATGTTTATAAGTATTTTTTTTGCTGTTTTTAAATGGCAAGTCTGCTGAGTTCCACAAGCACTGCAGAGTGCGTATGAGGTGCTAACATGACAACGGCAGCGCCAGGCCTGGGAGGCAGCGCTTGATTAGCTGCCTCAATTTCCATTCTGCATCAGGGCCAAAGAGGGAATTGCGGAGGGGCTGAGCTTGGATTAACGTGGCTTGTCTTGATCCTACCCTCAGTACAGCACCCATCTCAGGATGAGAATTAGATCCTAATTATTCCCAAGTCTGGCCACTGAAACGCACATGAGTATGATCAGAAAGGGTCAGAAGTGAACAGAGGCTGTGTCCCTCAGCCCTTTACCGCCTGATCTGCTCCTCGGCCATGGAGAGGGCAGCCTCAGCAGCCACTTTTTGGTCTCGTTCTTCTTCCAGCAGCTTCCTCAATTCATTCATCTCCTGTTTAGTGTTGCACAGCTGCTGCTGGGCTTCAGAAAAGCTTCAGGACAAAAGGAGAACAACAGCATCACTAGATGCAGGACATAGTTGCTGATACAAGGGATCCGAAGTCTTCATAAGGTTATAAAGCATGAAAATTTATAGAAGACTGTACAAACACAAAGAATATTTTAAAAGCATACCTGTTCAAGAGATGTAGGAAAATCTCTTAAAGCTGTAGGAAATGCTTTAAGAGATTTTAGGGGCTGACTGAATAGCTTTCATTTGAACACCATAACATTAGTAAGGTGTGTGTGGGGCTGGGGGGGTTGCTGTATAAACTATTCACACACAATTTGTTATTAGAATTGTCACTTTTAATCCTCACATTAATTCTGTGAGGCCAGTAAGATAAGAAGGCATAGTAAATCCATACAATGGACTCCTGTTCTAACTCGATGACCACCCAATTTCTGCAGACATAGCACACGCTCCAGGGTTGAGAACTCCTCCCCAACCTTAGCTGTGGCTCCCTCAGTTCTTCAGGATCACCCTTCCTGTGAGCTCCATTCTTTTCCTGGGGAGCTCCTGGAGCAACATCTATATTCAGTGGTCCCTAGAAGAAGAATAAGTTTAGTAATTCAGTGATGAAAGCAGTTAAGAAACTGTGCTTAGGCAAACTGAGAACTCACTTAGGCACTGGAGAGAAAGAGAAATGTGGAGAGAAATACCTCCATTATCACTCTCTTTAAGTACAGATTTAGAAGTGAGAATCTTTTGTTCTAGTAGATTAATCTCCTACATAAAACTCTTTATTAGATTTTCCTTCAGATTCTCATTCTTGAATCTCTCCTCTTAAAAGTTTAAAGGCTTATCACTGAAATCTGCTTCCTTCTAGTGGAGGTTCATGTACATTCCAGAAGCTACTCTGCCCCTTCCCTTATTCAACAACTCCTCCCCAACCCCTCCTCTTCCTTCCACGTCCTATTCACCTCCACCCTCTCAGTCTCCTCCAACTTCAACAAGCTCTCCTCTCCACTGCTGTCAACAGCTCTGCCTATTTTGTTTCTCAGGTCCAAATCTTCCTACAGCTGTCTTATTACTTAAAGCAAAAAGCCTTCCAAAAGCCTCAGTCATCACTGTTTCCCACTCTCTTTTTGATTTCTCTCCCACCACCTCTCTCATCTTTTTCCTTCTAATCCATTCACTCTTTTTTAAAATTTATTTATTTATTTATTTATTTATTTATTTATGGCTGCGTTGGGTTTTGTTGCTGTCTCTCCCACCACCTCTCTCATCTTTTTCCTTCTAATCCATTCACTCTTTTTTAAAATTTATTTATTTATTTATTTATTTATTTATTTATGGCTGCGTTGGGTCTTTGTTGCTGCACGCGGGCTTTCTCCAGTTGTGGCAAGCAGGGGTTACTCTTCGTTGCAGTGCACGGGCTTCTCATTGTGGTGGCTTCCCTTGTTGCGGAGCACGGGGTCTAGGTGTGCAGGCTTCAGTGCTTGGGGCTTGCGGGCTCCAGAGCGCAGGCTCAGTAGCTGTGGTGCACGGGCTTAGGTGCTCCGTGGTATGTGGGATCTTCCCAGACCAGGGCTCGAACCTGTGTCCTCTGCACTGGCAGGCGCATTCTTAACCACTGCGCCCCCAGGAAAGCCCCTACCGTTCACTCTTTAGTTTTTCCTGGACCTTATTCCTCCTCTCCTCTCGTCTGTCTCCATCACACCTAATGAATCCTCAGCCTGAAGACATCAACCTCTTCGATGCTGTGCTTTACGCTTTATCATCTGTACTCAATTTCCCAACACTCTTCCCGGCCTCTCACCTTCTCACTCACCGCTTGCAGCTCTTGAACCTGCTTCTCCAGAACCGCACAGTGATTGAAAAGGTCGCTGTAGTGCTGCTGGTTCTCACGGAGACTCTGACTGGTGTCACAGAGCTGAATGGAAAGAGTATTTTTCTCTTCCAGCAGTTGAGAGAACTGAAATAGGAGAGAGGATGAGCACCAGCCCATAGGACTGTTTCACTAGTTTCACTATGAGCAGTGTGTAGGCAAACTGTCCTGAGTCTTAAGGATCTAATTTTTTTATGCAAGATCTTTCTTTCAATAATAGCAAAAATAGCACTGTGTTCCTCCAGCATGAGAAAACTCAGAATTTTTCAACTGAGAAAGGAAAACAATTCTGGAAGAGTGGTAAAAACTTTATTTATGGTGCCTAGTACATTAACTGAATAACTAGGAGGCAGAAACCCAAAAGCAATCTAACAGGATAGGCCAACCAAGGCCTGTAAAAGGAGAAAGGCAATAGCTTGGGTCCAAGTTGAGATTACTAATAAATGACTATAATCCTCAGAGCTCAATATGGCTGGAGACAGAGCTATCACCTAAAAATTCATACAATAATATTCCTGGGCAGATTCTTCAATGCTGTAGAGAGTTACAAGCTACCGAGAAAGTAAAAATGATAACAGGTAGTAAGAGGGAGAAATAGAATAAATCCTGCTATGCCTATGTATGTAAGAAACTATATTGGGAGCATCAACTCTCACAGGGGGAAGCATTTCAGTCACTCAAGTCAGGGCTCTCCTCTACTGCATGAGTAACAGGTAGTAATTCAGTCTTCCCTTGAATGTGTCCAGCAGCCCAAGCCATTTTTTACATCAAAAACAGATATTTTTCTTGTTCATACTGAATAAAAAATTTACCCATTGTAGCTTCCATCCAATGACTTGAATTCAGTTTTTCTGGAACTACAATTCTAATTCCTCACTTGCAGGCTGTCAAATTTTAAGTTTTAGTTATGATTAACATCCAGATACATTAACAACCACAGAGATGTCTCTCTGAAGTAACTTTTTGTTGGATAACATACATTATGTGAAAGGAAACTGGTGTACCTGGCTGCACATTCAATCTTTTCTCAAGTATTCTCTTTTGTAAGTATTCTGTGCTAATGTTTGTGTAAAAAAGTTGAATCAACATTTACAGGAGAAAGGATAAACAGTTTTTTAGAGATACTCTGACTGGGAAGGACATTTAATGTATATGGAAAATTAGAGCAAGAAATCCATGTGGTATAACAAAAATATTTGCATAGCCAGAATGAAAAACACAGCAAATAACCCTACCTCTAAAGAGCAATTTTCAGTTTACAAAGCACTTTCAAAAGTATTATCTTATTTGAGAGAGTTAGAGGAAGAACTACTATCTTCACTTACAAATGACAAAAAAGAGATGAGTGGTGACTTGTCCAATGTTATGTGGCTAAAAGATGGCAGGCCAGAACTCAAGTACGGTTCTTGATTCCAAGTCTGGAGCTCTATCTGCTTTTTGATGGTGTCCCATCTGAGAATTCAGCAAGGGAACTTACGTAGGTTGTAGGTTTTTTCAGGGGTGGGAACAGTTAGTAAAGGAAAGAATATAAATGTTTAAGAAGCAATACTAATTGGAAAACAAAGGTAGCTGGGTACAATGACAACTACTGGGTTCTGAGACAGGGAGTAATATTGTCCTCTCCTAATAATAGAAGAAAGTCAACTTTCCTGGCCACAGTAAGCAGCCCAAACCATACCAAGAGAAACCAAACAAATAAATGAAAAAACAACCCCCCACCCCCGCAATCACTCAGTGTTGAAAAAATCCAACACATTTTTCTTGGAAGATCTAGAGGAGAAAGGGTAGACCAGTAAAACTCACTGGAAGCAAAAATTCCCATAACTTAAGAAGTCTAACTGCTTTTAAGCTACCCTCATACAAACCACCTTTTGTAATGTCTGCATTGTTCTGTCTAGGATAGACGTAGATCGCTGTAGTTTAGGGGTCGGCAAACTATGAGCTAGGGCCTACTGCTTTTTTTTTTTTTTTTTGGCTGTGTTGGGTCTTCATTGCTGCGCATGGGCTTTCACTAGTTATGACGAGTAGGAGCTACTCTTCGTTGCACTGCAAGGGCTTTTCATTGTGGTGGCTTCTCTTGTTGAGGAGCACGGGCTCTAGGTGCACAGGCTTCCATAGTTGTGGAGCGTGGGCTTAGTAGTTGCGGCGCGAGGGCTCTAGGGCATGCAGGCTTCAGTAGTCGTGGCAATGTGGGCTCAGTAGTTGTGGCTTGCAGGCTCTAGAGCACAGGCTCAGTAGTTGTGGTGCACGGGCTTAGTTGCACTGCGGCATGTGGGATCTTCCCAGACCAGGGATCAAACCCGTGTCCCCTGCACTGGCAGGCGGATTCTTAACCACTGCACCACCAGGGAAGTCCCTGCCTTTTCTTTGTAAATAAGGTTTTATTGGAACATAACCACCCCATTTGTTTACGTGTCATCTGTGGTTGCTTCCGTGCTACAACTGCAGAGCTGAGTAGTTGTAACAGAAATGGTATGGCCTACAAACCCAAAATATTTACTGAGTCTTTAAGAAAAAGTTTGCTGACCTCTGCTCTAACTCATAGGCTACTGTATTTCATCATATCTATACTTGTAAAAACAGAAGGAGGGAATAGAGACTACAGGACACCAATAATCATTCCCCTCATGTTTTTAAGCTTTAAGTTTCATGTTTTAAGTTTGCATTACATACAAATATCCATCAATGCTGGCAGAGATACATATAAAATCTGAGCATCCATGGAAAGAATTAGGGCAGTGGCTTGGAGAGGAGACATTCTATGCTGACAGCCCATCTACTACCATCCCATGCTAGGACCTAATCAGCAGTCCTCCTTTCTAGCTGGGACCCATTTAGAGTGAGGCTTTAATATCACCAATTAACTCCATGAGGGGTCACTGTGTATCCTCACTACCTAATGTATGGCCAGGCTCATAGAAGGCAGGTAATAGTTATTTGTTTCTGATGAATGATGAATAAGTGAACGACCAACCCTAGGGATGGAGATGCCTCCTTACAGCTGATTTCTAAAGGAAGAACTCTTTCTCACCCAGAATGAAAGTGATCTAAAGCAGTGTTTCTCATACTTTAAGTGGTATGTGAAGTATATCTCAATAAAGCTGTTAAAGAAAACATAACTTTGATAATGACCCAGAACGCAGTATTTAAATATAAGTAACTGAAACTAAAGTTTCTCAAAACAAATTATATTCTTTATTATATATTACATAATACATATTTTCAATCTCTTTTACTTGTTTTATTAAAAAAACCCTATATGCACTATTTGTAATAGCTCAAAACTGAAAACCCCAAAAGTTCTTTAACAGCAGAATAGAGAAATTGTTATATGCCTACAATGTAATAAATACTACACAGCATGAGAACAGAAAAATCACAGTACACATAACAACATGGATGAATCTCACAAAATAAATGAAGCAAACAAAAGAGAAGATATGATCCATTTATACATAGTTCTAAGGTGGTGGTAGTGAATAGAAGACACAAGGGACTCCTGGGGTTCTGGTATGTTCTGATTTTTGATCTGGGTGCTGCTTATACAGGTGTCTTCACTTTCAGAAAATATACCATGATGCACTTGTGATTTGTGTGCTTTTTGGTGTTTTACTTCAGTAAAACATTTACATGAAAAATGTTTCAGTTGCTGTCCACGAAAATGACCTCATCATCTACTAATAGCCCTGAATTGCAGTTTAAAGTACTGTCCAGAAAAGACAAATGCCCAGAGTGATTCACAGTCTAATGTTCAGGAGGGCAAATATAACAAAGGTTGAGATGGGGTCTACTGAATAGTTTCTAGAAAGAGGAGGTGTTACAGAGCTATGAAGGGCAGAACTTTCTGGAAACAACTGACTAGGCTAGAAGAGGAACTGGGTAGGATCTGCTCTGGAGTCTCCCCACTGCCCCACTAAAAACTCCCAGACAACCTCCCCAAAAAGGGTCTGCAATTTTACCAATTCATTTTGATCAACAAACCTACTTAAAAAATGCAAATTTCTCTGCCCAAATTAATAGTGTTATCAGTCTCTGATACTTCAGTGTCAATTAGTTGAACTTAACAACATTTAGTTAAGTACCTTCTACATAAACCAGGCACTGTGCTTTTCCATGTATATTATCATATTTACCTCAGACTGACCTCCTCCTAACACATCAGGCAAATTACTTAATACCTCTGGGCCTTAGTTTCCTCATCTGTGATACAGCCTACTGATCTTTACCATTTTTGGATCACAGATCCCTTGGTGAATGCCTGAGTTCTTGTGATGAGAAATTTACACACACACACACACACACACACACACACACACATACACACACACACACCATTTTGCATATATTTTTTGGACATTTATAGCCCTCCTCAGAGCTAATTTTTGGATTCCAGAGGCTCAATGATTACTTAAATCCCTTCCAGTGCTAACATACACTACCTAGCTGGCTTCCTCTGAAGAAGGCAGAACTAGAGGAGGTGCCACTAGAGAATACTTTGACTAGTCAGAGAGCAACAGGAGTATAATAATTCATAAGAGGGTGGTAGAAGGGAAGCAGATGAAGGAAGAAGAGAAGCCAGAGAATGGATGAGGGGAGAAGACAGAGATGTGAAGGCACCAAGAATAATCTTTTTTTATCTTACCTTGGCTTTTGCTCTAGGAACCATATGGCAAAGCAGCTCTTCCCTACAGAAAGAGGTCCTCTACTTCAGCATGCTTCCCTAGAGTGTCTAGAGTGACAAGGCTGGGGTTTGGGAAAAAGCAAGCTGGCTTCTTTAATTCCAGAACATTAAATACACAATGAGGAAGCTTACAAATGGAGTGAAATGAAGAGCAGATCTCTCACCTCTGTCCCTGTTACCTAATCACACATGAAAATCCTCTTTCCTGAGACTCTTCCCTGTTACACACTATTGGGAAATACAGAGAAACTTGCTGGAGGATTTGTGGGGAGTTAACTCAATATTACTAACAAGTGATACAGATGGGGAGATGATGTTGGGGAGGAAGCCTCCCTTAAGGAGTTGGCTTTTTTATTCTTACTGAATGGGTTTCTCCAAATCACTCCCAAGGACTCTCCAAGGGTGAGGAAAAGGAAATGGCCCTGTGTGCAGTGCTTTGGGGTAAGCAACCCAGGCTCTGAGAAAGGTAAAACTTCTGGTCCCCTAATATAGCTAGAGCCAGGCTTAACCAGATTCTACTTACCTTCTTGATTCTAGTCATGGAAACAAGAAATTGAACTCCAGCCTAGCAGGAAACACCTACCTTGCTGTTCAGTTGCTGAATTCTTAACTCCTTTTGGTGAATTTCCTTTAAGCTGTCATTGAGCTGAGTCCTAAGAAGTTCTGTCTCATAAACTAGGTTTTGTGATCCATCTAGGGAAGCTGGTGTCTCTGGGGATGCCTGCCAGGATACAAACACTGATGAAATTCTCTCTTAACATTGTTCATGCTTAAATCCTTCCTTCCAGAAACCCTGCCCACCTCATAGGAAGCCATCACGATGGTTTGCCTAATAGTGGCAGATGGGCACTTAGCTTGCAGGAAGCTGATGTTTCCTGGGTAGTGGTTACCTCTGAGTAGCAATCAGTGCTGAAATCACTCACCTGTCTTTGATACTGCATTTTGTGGGTCTCAGTCAGGGAGGAAGAAGATCTCAATTCCCTCATAAGATTCTGCAGATGGCTGAGCTGCTGATCTTTATCTGCAATAGCCATAAGGTACTGCTCCTTCATCCTCCTCTCATGAATTTCCCAGGAACTCTTCTCCATCCTAGAAAAACCATGAAATAGTCACAGGCAAAAATATACTTGTGAGACAAAGATGAATAATTGCATATTTAAAACAGTATTATGGGCTGTAGAGATGTAGTAAAGAAAATACATAACCAAAGAGAAATTTATGTTATAAACAGAACTGTGCAGCAAGATGATGGAGCAGAACTTAAAAAAGAATTGCAACTGGCAGGATTGGGGAAGAAAAGCAGGCATTTGGTCTGAATCCTGAACAATGAGTCAGGCAGGTTTCCATAATGGGAAAAGCATTCCAGGTTCAGGGAGCAAACAGAACAAAAGGCACAAGAATGAATATATATAATGAGTTTTGGAATTGTTGTAGTAGTGTGTAGAGTGGATAGGGCAGGAAATGAGGGTGGAGAGAAAAGAAGTCAGACCCTGTGGGGCATTGAACACCATGCTAAATAAAACTTACTCTAAGCAATGGGAAACCACTGTAATTCTTCAGAAAGGCAATGCCATGATGCAGTATACTATCAGGGTTATGAGAATACAACTGTAGAGTCTGAAGGATCTGGGTTCAAATGCTGGCTCTATCATATGCTAGGCATGAGACTCTGAGTAAAAGTAACAATCTCTCTGAGCCTCATTGGTAAAATGGAAATAAATGATCTATTCCTTAGGATTATTGTGAGGATTAAATGAGATACTTTATGTCATGTACCAAACACAGAGCCTGGCACATCACAATCACTCAACAAATATAAACTGCTGATATTTATTTATCCCCTGAATTTGACCAAGAGGGAAGCTTTTATTTGACCCCAGCTAATTTTCCATAGTTCTATCAAAAACTGCCTCTCTGCCATATTCTTTAGTTCTACTTCTTTCTACACTATGATTGAAAAAAAACATTAGGATTGTAATCAAATTTCTGCAGCATCTGTTTACTTTGAATAGTACCCATGTCTCTAATTTTTCCTAATAATATAAGGTTTTATTTGAATTGCATCTGACTTTTTTGTTTCTCTCTAGAAGTAAGGTAAAATGGTCCTTTCTTTTCTAAAGGACATACACCAATTATGAAATAATCCTGCTATGTCAAGAGGTGACTTGGATTACAGTCAGATTTTTTTAAAAAGAGCTAAAACTTAGAAACTAAAATAAATTTTTATTACAAGGCCACTATATGAAAAAGGCACAGAAATTTTCTAAAACACTTTCTCCGATATTTGTCTGTGAAAAATGAGAGAGAATAAGAAAGAAGGAGTGTAAGACTGAAAATGCACAAGAAAGATCACAATTCTTCCATAAAGCTTTAAGCCGCCATTTTGTTTAGAAAGATGGACAAGTAGTTATGGTGTGGAGAGACCCTCAATGGAGAAGAGGCACTAAGGAACAAACCTGATTACTTAAGAGAACACAGCCATAAACGGGCTATACCTCACTTACCCTTAAGTAAGAGAGCACAGGAACCAGAGCAGAATAAGCAAATCAGTAGCTACAAGTGGAAGAGAAACGTTACTGTATAAATCCAGGCTCTTCTCATAAGCCAAACCCAGTGCCATAGAAGCCTGAATGAGATGTTCCAGCTTTTTCATGTTTGAAAACCTCATTTCTCCCAAGTATTTCAAGAGCAAAAAACAAGGAGTCTTAAAGATATTCGGCTAAAGAAACTGGTCCTATAGTCAGCGAATCAAATCTGTGTCCTCATTTTCTTCTTCTAAAAGTGATGTAAAATGTCTTCCTTTCCTTCTCATAATTTACTCACATCCACTTGATATACAATTTTTCTTTTCTTCAAAACTGCTCAAATGTGGAAGGTAAAGAGAGAAAGGCTAAGAGAAAGGTGGAAAGGGAGAAAATGAGGGAAGAAAAAAATCAACAGGCCAGAAATCATTTTCTTTCTCCCTCTTTTTCTCTTCCCTTAAGGGTCAACTTTATAAGGAAAGTATCCTTTCAGAATGCCCTGTGAGGAAGTTTAAAGAGGAACAAGTGGCTGCAGAAAATAACCCTTTAGAGCCTTGCAGCCCTTCTTCTGTTTACACTAGCAACTGGACACAATATTTTTTTTAGTTCCAGGTGATGTGGAGATAATATGGGAGATGTCAAGGTGATGCTCCCATGTGCTCCCAATCACCTTTGGGGGGGCCCTAAATTCAGTGGTCAACATTAATGTGCATCTGAGGGAAGATGATCTCTTGATGGTGAATTGAGATTCTAACAGAATAAGCTAGGGCAGCTATTCCCTGGTGGAAAAAAGGATGAGGTTGAAATGGAGCATCTTTCTTCTAGGGTTCAATTCCAGAAAGAAGAAACAGAAGCAATTTGTATTCATTCCCAGAGAGCAAAAATTCAGTTTTTTTACCTTCTCTGCAATCATCCTTTGATTAAAAAAATGTGTTCTTGTATTATCTGGGGAAGTTGCCAACTCCATGGAATAAGTTTAATATATTTTCACTTATAAGAAAGTCTGTAAAGATGTTGAATATGAAAATCTTTTGGATGTAATTTCACTCCACAAAATTTAAATGACCAAATTCTAAAAAGCATTTTGCTCTATAAACCTTGCTTAAGGTTTATTTTGAAATATCACGTAAGTAAAGTACATGGCATCTAGGATCTGTGAAGGAACAAATCTCTTCTATCTACACATTAAGAGCTCTCTTAGGGATGTTACAATAATTATTTACTATATTGATATCTGTCATCATGGTAGATAATGTAACCTGGATGGGACTCTAGATTCCACCTCATATTCTCTGTATTCACTTGCCTATGTTTGTCCTGTAGCAGCAGGTGATACAAAACAGGTGCTGCTTGATCAGCAGCACTTTCCAACATGGAGATTCCCCTTTTACTATCAAACTCTGAAAGCTTTGGGTTTGATTTTACTAAGGTGGCATGTACCACCATCTTACACTAAACAGTAATAGAGTCCCAACAATGAGGCTGCAACAACAGGACCTGTTTTTATACACTGTTAAGCACTTATTCTTTACCTTTACTTTTCAGATCAAATCTGAAACAATGAATTAAAAAACCATCCAAAATTTGAGTTCCTATCATAATTTTTTCCCTCTAATAGAACATATAGCATTGTTAGTCATCTTTAAAGGAAAAGGCTTGGATTTCTAGATTCAGACAAGATGGAGTAGATGCATTTTTCCTTATTCCGCCCACTAAGTATAGATAAAAAACCTTGGAAATTATATATAAAACCAAACATAAGATGACTGGAAAAGATGGAGAAGAAGGTAGAGAAGCTCAGGACTCTAGGACTTAAGGAATGACATGGTGGTGACTTCACTGGTTTTCCTTTTTGAATTCTACATATCCCAAACTGGGTGAGGGAGGATCCAACAACTTAGAACACGAATGAGTGCCAAGAAAAGTTTGCTGTCTTTTGCCAAAGGCCCAGGAAGGGGAGGACTAGCAAGACAGAAACATTAATGACAATAACCACCCAACTGCAGTAGAACACCATGGAAAGACTACAGTATCTACCTACCGCCATTAACAAACTCCTAGTGAACAGATTAGTGTCATTCTTGCCTGGAGGTAACTAGGTGCACCTCACCCTCCCTGCTAGGTGGTGTCAGAAGAGGCCAAGTGGGGACTTCCCTGGTGGGCCAGTGGTTAAGACTCTGCGCTCCCAATGCAGGGGGCCTGGGTTCGATCCCTGGTCAGGGAACTAGATCCCACATGCTGCAACTAAGAGCTGGCATGCTACAACTATAAGATCCCGCATGCTGCAACTAAGGATCCTGCATGCTGCAACTAAAGATTCCACATGCGGCAATAAAGATCCCTCATGCTGCAACTAAGAGCCAGTGCAGCCAAATAAATAAATAAATATTAAAAAAAAAAAAAGAAGACGAAGAAGAGACCAAGTATGTACACTGGACTGTCCACCACTCTGGTAAAGAGGTTCCTCTCTCTAACCACCTTCACTCTCACCCTTGCTATGGTGTCACTGGAGACAACATGTGGAGCCTGGACATCCACCTCCACCCATAACAGACTAAAATGTTCTCCCCTGTTCCTGCAGAGGTAGTAACAGAAGAGGCCAGAGGGAAGTTTGGACTGTGGGCACTAACCAGTGGTAACAGGTGCCCCTCCTCAATCACCCTCCTGCAGTGTCAGTGGAGATTAAGTGGGGAGCCTGGACTTTCACCACTGCCCAGTGACAATGAAGTGCTGCCCTCCACACCCCTGAGTGGTATCAATGGAAGCCATGTGTGGAGCTTAAGACTTCTACTCTCACCTAACAGTAATGAGGCACTGCTCCCTGCTAACTGCAGTCTCAGTGGAGTACTAAGTGGCGAGCCTGGACTTCCTCTGGCAGTATCAGGGCACTGCCTCCCACTAGGGGTTATCAATGAAGGCTGAGTAAAGAGCCCACTGGACTTCACCCTCCTCTAGCAGTAAAGTGGCAGTGTTCCCCTTCCCCTGCTGGCATGGTGTCAGTGGAAGCCTACCAAAGATTTAAGTAAGATTGAGTCTTAAAACTTATAGGACTCCAAAACATCCAGGTTACAACTGAAAATCACTCATCATACTAAAAACCAGGGAAATCACAACTTGATTGAGAAAAGAAAATCAATAGATTACAACACCCGAGATGACACAGATGTTGGAACTATGTATATGGAATTATAGAAGTATTTTAAAGTGGCCGTCATAGAAACGCTTCAACAAGCAACTACTAACACACTGGAAATAAATGAAAACAGAGAAAGCCTCAGCAAGATATAAAGAAGATCTGAATGGAAATTTTAGAATGGAAAAATACAATAGCCAAAATAAAAAGCTAACTCAATGGACTCAATAGCAGATTGGAAGTGATGAAGGAAAAAGAAAAAATATCAGTGAACTTGAAGACAGACAATAAAAATTACTGAATCTGAATAAAGAGAAAAGTAATCAATAAATTGATTTCATCAAAATTAAAAAGACCTTCTCAATGGAAGGATGAAAAAAAAACCCTGCAGACTGGAAGAAAATATTTACAAGCCATGAATCTGACAAAATACCTGTATCTGGGGACTTCTCTGGTGGTCCAGCAGTAACGAATCCGCCTTCCAATGCAGGAGGAACAGGTTCGATCCCTCATCAGGGAACTAAGATCCCACATGCCGTGGGGCAACTAAGCCTGCCCACCACAACTACTGAGCTCGCGTGCCTCAACTAGAGAGCCTGCGTGCCACAAACTACAGAGCCCACACGCCCTGGAGCCTGCACGCCACAACTAGAGAGAGGAAAAAAACAAACGAAAAAAACAAAAACCTGTATCTGGAATACATAAAGAACTCTCAAAACTCAACAGTAAAAATTAACAACCCACTTAGAAAATAGACAAAACACATGATCAAATATTTCATCAAAAAGGACCTATAGATAAGCATGTAAAAAAAATGTTCAACATTAGTAGCCATTATGCAAATTAAAACCACAGTGGAACAGCATTACATACCTGTAAAAAACTAAAATTTAGTTACAATATCAAATGCTGATAAGGATGTAGCATTTGATATTGAAACTGGACCACTCATATATTGCTGGTAGGAGTATAAAATGATACAGTCATTCTGGAATACAGTTTTGCAGTTTCTTAAAAAACTAAACGCCACTTATTATATGACCTAGCATTTGCACTCCTGGGCAATTACCTCAGAGAAATTAAAACTTATTGTCCACATAAAAGCCAATACACAAATGTTTATAGCAGCTTTATTTATAATAGCTAAAAATTAGAAACAACACATGTCCTTCAATGAGTGAATGGTTAAAGCAGTACATTCATACCATGAAATACTACTCATCAATAAAAAGAATGAAGTATTGATACACACAATGATGTTAATGGATGTCAAGGGCATTATGCATGAGTAAAGCTAATTTCATAAGGTTGCATACTTTAAAAAATTCTCAGAATGACAAAATTATAGAGATGGAGAACAGATTAGTGGTTGCCAGAAGTTAGGGATATGGGGATGGGAGGGAGGGGAAAAGTGTGACTATAAACTAGTAGCACAAAGGACATATTTGTGATAGGGCAGCTGTATACCTTGTTGTAGTGGTAGTTACATGAATCCCCACATATTATAAAGTTGCACAGAACTATACACATACTTGAGTGAATGTTAAATTGGTGTGAAATCTGCATAAGATCTCTGAATCGTACCAATATCAATTTCCCGGGTTTGAAATTGTACTATAGTGATGGGAAACTGGATGAAGGGTACATGAAAGCTCTTTGTACTATTTTTGCAATTTCCCATAAATCTATAATTATTTCATTTAAAAAAACACAAAAAACTAAAAGAAAAGGGTTAAAAAGCAGGGATTATCATACCTGAGCTGATGTAGCTCATGCTGCCAGGAGAGGTTTTCCTGCCTGAGCTCTTCTTGCATAATCTGAAATGTTTTTGTCTTATCTTGATACTCCTGAAGTTGAGCCTTCAGTGGACGTAACTCAGTGATTTCTTGGTTAATCTGTAAGTATTGCTGCTGCAGATTCTTCAATTCCTTCAGCTTTAACCAAAAGGAAAGTAAAAGGGTGATTTCATCACATTTCATTCATTCAGCTGTAAGTCAGCAGCACCTCCCTGCTAAGTCAGTCAACATCACAACTGACTACCAGCACCTAACAGTCCACTGACATAATGGCAGCATGAATCCCTAAAATGGTGAAATACATGCAGCCAGGCTGGTGGGAATCTCCTGATGGAGCGGCCATCAAGGCTGTAGGGCCTGGCCACTACTGCAACTTCAACCCCATCCCACTGGCCCTGAGGTCCTAAGTTGACACTAGATCTACAACTCGGAGATAGGATAGACTTAAAGGACTTAACAGCTTCTTGGTGGGTGGTAACTCCCTAGAACAAGAAGTGTAAAGATAGATTGGCTTTCTATTTAGCCATATGCCCTGGCTAGGCTTCTAAACTTTCTTACATGAATATCAACCTTAGTTCTAGCTTAGCTGATGTTGATTATAAAGAAGGCATTGATGCCCAGGCCCAGTGTTAAGAGCAGTTAGAATTTGGAGTCAGCTATCCTGCCCACATAGTGTGTGATGCTATGCATGTTCCACACACCTTCTAAGCCTTAATTTCCTTCATCTATAAAATGAATGTAATTATAGTACTCCTCATAAAGATTATGAGAATTCAACGAGAAAATTAATGCACTCCAAACATAAAAGTTGGTGGTGGTGATGATGATGATGAACTTGCCTCTAATTAGCAAAACTGCCTATCTACATTCCAGATATATCTTCTAACTCTTTACCCCCAACACTCTTTAAAAGCTTGGTAGTAAGAAATAATGTCAGGACATCTGGGCAAAGAGAGAGGCCTTGAACACACATCTCTTTCACCCTCTCTGGAAACATCACTAAAGCTACAATAAAGGCATCATTTTATAAGCATAAAACACAAGAACAAGAAGAACAAGAGAGGAGTCAGCAGCAACAAATTAATTTTAGAAGCTGAAAAGGAGATGCATAAATGGTAATTGACTTAACAGATCTGGGAAAGGCAAGTCTTAAGCTGGCAGTAGGAAAAGCCAAGAACCAATAGAATTTACTCTGCAGACTCTTCAAAAGGCTCAGGAATTAACAGCACCAAGTACCTCTGGAAAAGATGGTGATGGGGGTAGGGAGGAGGAGGTGATAGCTGAAATAAGGAGGATTCGATGAAAACTGCTTGAGAACAACTACAACCCTCAGTACCATCCCAGTTCCACACTTTTTGTTACTCTGACAGACAACTAGAATTTTATTCTCTAGAAAAAGTTAAAAGAGTGTCTCTGGACTATGGAACACTAGGTACAGTAGAAGGTAAGGGTACTGCTCCAAAACAAGGGTGATCAAGTGAATGTATGCTTTCTGAATGCTTGAAGCCTTTCCCCTACTTAGCTTGAAGAGTGCTGGCACACAGGCCTTTACCGTCCATAAGGGAAATTGAGAAGACTTCTCTAGAAAATCTGACCAACCCAAGAGGAACTAAAAATATCAACATGGGGACTACCCTCAAAAAGCTCAGCAAGGGCTTCCCTGGTGGCGCAGTGCTTGAGAGTCCGCCTGCCGATGCAGGAGACGCGGGTTCGTGCCCCGTTTCGGGAAGATCCCACATGCCGCGGAGCGGCTGGGCCCGTGAGCCATGGCCGCTGAGCCTGCGCGTCCGGAGCCTGTGCTCCGCAAATGGGAGAGGCCACAACAGTGAGAGGCCCGCATAACGCAAGAAAAAATAAAAAATAAAAAAAAAATAAAAAAAAAAAAAAAGCTCAGCAAGATCACCATGCACTGAAACTCACAGCTGGTTAAGTCCCACCCACAAGCATTTTAGACTCTGCCCACAAACATGAAGAATAAACCAAGGATTAACCCTCACCTGAAGAACAGCTAACATTAGGCAGGGATAAAAAGAAACTAGAAGAAAAGTAATTCAGAAGACATCAGCAGAAGAAAGAATGTCATGTACTCAAAGACTTAAGAGAATATTGGAAATTAGAAACATTATAGTAGAAATTTTAAAATTATAAAGAAAAACTCATTATGAAAAAATTTCAAAGAACAAAACTACCCCCAGTCTTCTTGGAGAGATAAATTAAGAATATATATCCATGAGACAAAAAAAAAAAAAAAAATCTTTAGAAATAAGGAACATGATAGCAAGAATGAAAACTTCAATATAGGATTCATATGATCAAGGTGAGAAAATCTTCCCAAAGTAAAGCAAAAACAATAAAAAAGGTAAGAAAATATATTATAGAGCCAATCCAGAAGGCCCTACACCTAAACAACAGGATTTCCAGGGAAAAATAGGCAATAGAGAAAAAGGATGGGGGAAAATGGTAAAATAAAATTCAAAAGAATTGCCCAAAATTGATGAACATGACTTCTTAGATTCAAAGGACTAGACAGAATGATAAAAATAGACCCACACCAAAATACATTATCATGAAACGTCAGAACACACAAGACTAAAAGATTCTATTTACAGTTGACCCTTGAACAAGGAAGGAGTGGGGGTACCCACCCACCGTGAAGTCAAAAATCCATGTATACTATTGTCGGCCCTTCATATATGCGGTTCTTCTACTGAATATATCTGCTGTTATGCATCCACAGAGCCAACCACCCACTGATCTTGTAGTACCGTAGTATTTACTAATGAAAAAAATCTACGTATAAGTGAACCCATGCATTTTAAAGCCATGTTGTTCAAGGTCCAGCTGTATTTCCAGAGAGAGAGAAAGAGATAAGAGATGAGGGAGAGAGGGAGAGAGACAGAGGGAGAACTATCTCATATACAAAGGATCAAGGATCAGAATATCTTTAGACTCCTGAACCACAATGTAAGCTAAAAGGGAACAGACCAATGTCTTCACAATTTTGAAGGGAAATTATTTTCAGCCTAGAATTCTATACTCAGCCAAACTATCAATCAGGTGTAAGAGATAAGACATTTTACCTCCCCCGTACCTTTACTTAGAGAGCTACTGAATGATTTATTCCAACAAAATGATGGCACAAAACCAAGATGAGGAAAACATGGAATACAAGAAACAGGAACTCTAACACAGGAGAGAAATGGAGGGAGATATTCTAAGATGAAAACTGTGTCCTAGGAGTACAGGGCAACTGATTCATTTAAGAGCAAAAGAGAGATTCCAAGAGAATTTTCTTTCTGAAGACTAAATAGATAGGAATAAACATCTTGAAAAATGTGGATTAAATGGCAGTAAATCTGGCGTTAATTACATTGATAAGTACAAAGAAAACTAAGTAAGCAACAACAAAAACACAGTTATTCACTCCAGGAAAAACAAAGGTGTTGAGGAAAATAACAGTAACACATGTCTCAGGTCTAATTGCATTTGTAGTCATAAAAATGTAGACATTGAATATTGATTTAATCAAAATTAAAATTAAATTACATCAGGACAATGGGGAAGGGGTTGTATATTGAAAATGTACGTCTATACTGTGAAAACAGAGGGAGTGGGCTTGCCTGGTGGTGCAGTGGTTAAGAGTCCGCCTGCCGATGCAGGGGACACAGGTTCGTGCCCCGGTCCTGGAGGATCCCACATGCCGCGAAGCGGCTAGGCCCGTGAGCCAAGGCCGCTGAGCCTGTGTGTCCGGAGCCTGTGCTCCGCAACGGGAGAGTCCACAACAGTGAGAGGCCCGCGAACCGCAAAAACAAAAAACCAAAAAACCAGAGGGAGTAAAGAGAACTAAACTCTGTTAGCATATAAGAAAGTCAACAGCTAATGCAAAGAATGAAAAGCCAAGATGCACTATAAACATGATATTTAGCTACTGAGGAAACACCAAAATAACAAATTAAAAGGGTTGAAAGCAGATTGCCTCAGAAGAAGGAGAAACAGGGTTGGGAATGCTACTCTTTGTTTTTCTTATCAAACATTGTAGAATTTAGTGACTCATCAAATATGTGTGTATAGCTTTATCTTTTAACCCAAAACTAAAATAAAAACATATTTTTGTTTTGTTTTAAAGCAAACATATATTCTTTATGCAATCCACTCACTCCTCTAGTCCAGATACTCTAAATGTTACCTTTGGAATAGAGCAGATCATCAGAAAGCCACTTGCAGAGGTAACTTTAGTGAATTACTCAAAATTCTTTTGCTATGCACTTACATCAAGGGACAGCTAAATAAAAACCCTATAAAACAATTATTATATTTACTGTAGAGAAGTAAAGAATGTTTCATAACTTCATAGTGCCCTCCCTATGGAAACACAGAAGAAATTTCTTGCAGGCCTCAATACTTAAAGAACAACTATTCTTATCTGTTCCAAGTAGTTTTACTTTCTTCCTTTTCCCTAAAATATGGACACTGCAATTCATACACAAGGTTTTAAAATTCCGTACTTCTGATGGCTGCCAGACCTCAGAGCAAAATTAGTGGCCCATCTTTCTAATAGGATATTGTGATATCCCTTTGGGATAAGTTTACTCCTAAACTAAACTTACTCCTGGTTTAATCTTTTTCTCTCAGATCCTAATTTTCTTTTCCTTCCCAGTTCCTCACCTTATATTATCTTGAAAAACTGTTCATATCTTTATATGCTACCTCAAATCATTTTCAGACTGAAATAAGTATAGATAAACAAAAAGGCACCTCTAGAGATTTGCTCTACAACCTTTAGGTAGGAGTGCTTCATTTGATTATGGGAAAATCCTAAGGAAGTTTGAACACATATGAAAACTCCAGAATGTTTTCAGAGTTGTTTGTCATGCCCTAGTAGAATCCTAGAATCCCTTGGGTTAACTCCTTGCCACTTAGACCCTCAGACTTTATTTGAGAAACTTCCCTTTGACTAATTATATAAAGAAGAAAACCAAAGTCACCTAAGCTCCTTTCAGATCTAGCTCATCTCTTGGGTGGTCCTGAGGGAAAGGAAGCATAGTGTAGGCAGAGGTGACAAACCGCTGGCCTAGGCTGAATGTTTAAACTGATAGTGATTGAAATAAGTTATTGTGCATGCAGCCAGTGGCTGAGAGACTAGAAACTTCAATGCTCATGAGACAGACTGAGAACAAGATATGTGGAAAAGAAGATTTGATGGACAATTAACAATACATTCAGTAAGTATGCAGAAGGGCCTCAGTGGCTGTAGCAGTGACTGTATGCAATATCACTGAGTCAGACTGTCAGGCCTTCATGTGATTTATAACCCTGCCTAGGCTTTATGACTTGTTCACGGCAGATATAAAAGCCTCAGTCTCAAAAGTTCCTATAATTTCCCTACTCGACACTTTCACACAATAGAACACGACAATTTCACAAAATAGAGAAAAGTGTTTTCAGTAACAACCACACATATAGAGAATATGTATCAATTTTTGATTATCTACCATATGATTAACTACCCTTCTGCTAAAAACCATGGGAAATATGAATAAGTATAAGACATGACACATTTACCAAGAGTTTACAATTTAATTGGGGAAATTAAAAATAAGGGTATAGAAATTAAACACACACACACATACACACACACCCATATATATCAAGGCAATATGGGACAAAGGAAAAGAGAAGCACTAGGGAAGTACAGACAGAAGGTAATAGACAATCAAGCGATCTGGAAATGTAGCCGGAGGATTTGAGCTCTGGGGCAACCTTTAAAGAGTAGGAAATATGCCCAAAAAAGGAAAATGGAGAGGACATTTTGGTTCAGAGGATAGTAATGTGGGTAAGTAGATCAGTTTGTGGGTGAGTAAATCAGTCTGGCTGAAATGAAGAGGATGAGTAGAGAAGCAGTAAAAGAGGATGCTGGAAAGAGAGGCAAAAACAAACTATAGGGTATTAAATCCAGACTAAGAGGTTTGAATCGTCCTAGAATGCCCAGATAATATGAATAAAAATTTTTTAAATCATTTTCTATAAAAATGAAAATCAATTTAAAGAAAGTTTCAAAAACTCTCAAAAGAAGATTGGAAAGAGAAACCTAGATACTCACTAGTCGGTCTCGGTCATTTTGAAGTGATGACATAGCTTTTTTTAAACTCTGTACTTCATCTGGGCTGGTTGCAGGTGGGGCTGCAGACCTCTGCTTCCCTTCCTCTGACTTGTGGAATTTCTCCAGTTCACTCAACAGGTGATCTCTCTCATTCTGTAGACTGGCCATAGCCTTGGAAAAGGACTGCACTTGGTTGTAAGAGTCTTCTAGTTGTGAGGACAAGTGAAACAGTTGGTCATCTTTGGATAGAAGCTGTTGGTTAAGTTTCTCAAGGTGGGGCAGGCTGTTATCCTCAGTGGAGTTAACTGGAAATGCAGTTTTAGAAACATGTACATCTCTCTCTTTGCTTAAGAGGCCCTGCTCTTCTCTCAGCTGTGCCAACTCCTTCAGACTGGCCTCATATTTCTTTTTCAGTTCCTCAACTTCCTCATTGGCATGATCTCTACTATCTTGTAGGGAACTCATTGACCTTCCAAAAGACTGGATTTGTGCTGTAAGACCTTTATTTTCTTTGGTGACCATGAGTAACTTCTGTTCCATCTCTACCAGATCTCTTGCTAGCTCCGCCACCCTCTCTTCTGCTGTTTCAGTTTCATTTCGCATTATCCCTGCATCATGATGAAGATGCTTTAATTCTTTCTTCAGGTTATCTTCAATTTCACCTACCTTTCTGGCAGCTTCCTTCTGAACATGAACCAATTCCTCTTCCAGTTCTGTAATTCTCTTCTGAGACAAAGAAAGGGTAGTATTTAACTTCTCTACCTCTTCTTCTTTTGCTTTTAATTGGGGCTGGAATATTCCTAAAGTACCTTCTTCTTGCAAGGCTGTCAATTGTTTCTTTAGTTGGGATAGAGAAACTTTTAAGTTCTCAATCTCTTTAGATAAACCTCGTTTCTCCTCCTGTAGGGCAAGAGAGAACCTCTGCAGCTCCTCCTTTGCTTCCTCAGACTCCTTGAGCTTTTCTTCTAATTTAGCATACTCACTTTTCACCTCCTTAGTCTGCTGAAGTTGAGCTTCAAGGAGCTGCTTTTGCTGACAGTCCTTCCTTGATATCACTTGGTTCAGGTCTTCTCTATATTGGATCAGTTCTGCATTGAGCTTGGCATTCTCAGAATTGAGATCATCCATATGACTTCTCAAGCATCGAATTTCTTCCTTCAGCTTATTATTCTCAGTAGCAGCATCCTGGATGAGTTGGTCTTTTTCCAGGATCACAGAGAGATGTCGCTCTTCCAGCTGTTGGTAATCACCTACTATACGGTCTCGGTCATCCTGGAGAGAAGACATGGATTTAACAAAGGAATTCAACTGAGCCTTCTGTTGCATGTTCTCCTTTTTCATGTTTTTCAGTGTTTCCATAAGCTGATTGGTTTTGTCAACAGCTTTTTTGTTCTCTTCTTCTAAAACAGTATTCTCCTCTTCCTCCTGGGACAGTAGATTTTCCAATTCTTTAATTTCTTTATCATGCTGCTGATGCAGTTCAGCAACAGCTACTTGGACTGCCTGTTCCTTGGCAGAAAGCAGGCTTATAATCTTCTGCTCTTTCATGTTTATTTCTTCATGCAGCCTACTGGTCAGTTGTCTGGAGGCCTGAAGATCTGTCTCTAGCTGTTCATAACTGAACTTACAATTTTGGATATCAGCCTCTTGCTGCTTTATGATCCCTTCCAAATTTTCTTTATTTTCCTTATATTTTTCTAAAGAGTTATTTAAATCAGTTGACTGGTCTCTGAGAATCTTCAGTTCTGATTCCAACCTAGCTAATTCATCCTGAGAACTACGGTATAGATGTCGAGTCTCTTCTAGCTGGGAAAAAAGTTCTTTGTTTTCTCCCTGTAGAGTATCACAGACCTTCTGCTGAAACTGGACTTCTGTCTGAGCTTTGCACTCCCAAATCTGCTTGTCATGTTCAAGCCTAGAAAAAGAGAGAAGGTCATTAATTACAGATTTCAAGGGAAAAGTACTTGATGCCTAAGGAACACATACTACAACATGTACTCAGATCTACAAGTGAATAAATATTCATAATTGAAGGTGTTCATCTTTTTAATAAAGAGGTATTAGCTCTACTGAATGTTCTGTATTAAAGGTATATTGCACCTAAGAATTCGTATAAAAATAAACTCCAAAGTATGTTGCTAATTTAGTGACATGACCTTGGACACTCTAAGGAGTGCCCCCAATTTTGTTTTTGCTCTAGACAAGCTGTTGTCTGGCCCCTTAATGGATTAATCTTGGTATGAGAGGCAATGAGGAGACCTGTCTCAGAGCAGAAGGATCCTACTAAAAATGAGAATACAAAGTGTGGGGGACACTGTTGTTTCCTGAGCTTGAAAAGTGATATAAAATTGGAGTTTGAAGAAAGTAACTCTAGCAGGCATATGCAGTATGAATTGATGTGGAATATGAGGAAGAGAAAAGAGGAGATCGTTTCAGAGGCTAAGGCAGTAATTTGAGAGTACAATAATATGCACTATGGTAAAAATTCAGACAAGGATAATGGAAATGAGAAGAAAGGAAGAAATCTAAGAGATCTCTCAATAGAAAGATGGGTAGAGAAGCAGATGTAAATTTTTCATGTTAATACAAGTTGTAGCAGAAAGTCATTTGCAAGTCATTTGCAAGAGAGCGAGAGAGACAGAAGTGAGAGGGAATACATCTTCGGGGAGAATTTAAACCAAAATCAGTCCCATAATATTAAAGGGAATAGAAGTAGTTTAAATAGAGACTTCCTTTGCCTTCAATTGCCTTTGGAAGAGCAAAAAAAGTCATTATTAATTTACCTGGAAATGTTGATCTTCAATTCCTCCATGTGGATGGACATCTGCCTAAGCTGATCCTTTAGAACACTGAAATTCTCTTCTTTAAGTCTAATTTCTTCTTCTTTGGTTTGAATAGCAACACTGAACTTCCTCTCCCATTTCTTGGCTTCATCTATCACCCTGTCCCGATCATCCTGAAGGGAAGACATGCTCTTAGTGAAAGCTGCAAGCTGGGCCACAGTACTATCCAAGTTTTCCTGAAGTTGCTTAACTTCCTTGTCTTTCTTGTTCAAAGTAACCTGAATCTCTCCAAATGTCTCTTCTAAGTAGACTTTTTCTCTATGCAAAGCATCCAGTTTCTCTTGCATATTCTTCTTCTCTTTCAGGTGTTTCTCCTCTACCTGCTCCAGTCTTCTCTCAAGATCTTCATCCTTTTGTTTCATTTGGCTTTTAACTGATTCTTTATTTGACTGAAGCTCCTTTTTCAACTTGAAATTGTCTGCTAGGACCCTTGCTGCTTCACTTTGAGTGTCATCTAGCAGTACTTTGAAGCTAGCTAATTCTGTTTCTGCCTTCTTGCGATGTTCATTGGCTTGAGCCAGATTTTCTTTGGTTATTTCCAAATCTTTCTGGGACTCAGTCTGAACAAATTCTAAGGCCTTAACAGTTCTCTCCAGAGCACTGATTTTCTCTTGGTACCTAATGCAATCCTTCTGCAGCTGCTTTACTTCTTGCTGTTTTTCTTTTAACAGCTCCTGAAGTTCCTTTGCATGACTTTTATTGCCAGGCCCTTTCTGAGCACCTTGTATTTTCTCCATATATTCTTTTCGTATTTCTGATTCCACCTTAGTTTTCTCCTTGACTAACTGCTGCTTTTCTTCTTCCAATTCACTCACACACTTTTTAAGGTTCTGCATTTCAGATTCTAGTAGCTCATTTTTGATTTGGGCATCTGTAACATCCTGATAATAATTCCCAATGCTTCCATTAAGTTCTGCTAATTGATTCATAAGCCTCTCTTCCAAATCATCTTTCTCTTCCTCTGCTGTCTCCTTTAGCTTGGTAACTCTGGCAAGTTCTTCTTGGATTTGCTGATTTAATGAGTTTATTTTGGTTACTTCTTCCTGAAGCATTCTTAGTTCACCATCCTTAGCTGATATTTGACTCAATAAAGCAGCTCTCTCATTTTCTAAAGTCTGGCTAAATTCCTTGTCTTTCTGCTTGTCCTCCTCTAATTCAGTGATTCTTTCTTTGAGCTGATCCATCTGCTGTAGGTAATTATTAATTTCATCATGTAAGCTGACATTCTCACTTATATCAGGCTTGGCACTGTTCTCTGAATGAATGGATTCTGAATTTTCAGACCTTGGGTTCAAACTTGGAGAGTTTTGCTCATGGGCCTCACCTGGAGCAGACTGGGTTGCCTCTTCAGTGACAACCATCCGGTTATCATGTTTCTCAGTGGCCTCCAGGCTAGCTTGTTTGGATACATTACCTTCTATCTGATGCTTTAAATCCTGAACCTCTTCACTTAAAGAGTCCTTCTCCATCATTAAAGCCTCAAACTCCTTAGAAAGGGTTTTATACTCTGTTTGGACCCTTTCTAGTTCCTCCTTCATGTCAGAATTGGAAGAAAGAAGTGCTTCCATACTATCTTTAGATGTACCTCCTGCAGGGTGTACCTCTGCTCTAAGCCTCTCATTCTCTTCTTCCAACTCTAGGATTTTCTGCTGTTTAGATTTAGCAAACTTTCTCATCTTTTCTTTCATCTCCTCCATTTCCTGTTTAGCTTCCTGCAACTGCTTTTCTGTTTCTTTCTTGTTTCCTTCTGTGCTTCTTAACTTGCCGTATAGTTCTTGCTTCTCTTGCCTCACAGTTTCTACCACATGCTGAATCCTTTCTGCCTCATTACTAACATTCTCATAGGACTGCAGAAGAATTTCATATTCCTTTTGTAACTCTTTGTGTTTCTCTTGCCACTCTGTGCTTTCTGCAATCTTAGAACATTTCAAAGATTCAATTTCTTTCACTAAGTTTTCCTTGTCTTCAGTAAGACCCTCCAGAGCTAATTTCAGACTTTGACAAGAACCATTGAGACTTTGATTTTCCATTAAAGATATGTCCATTTCTGCAATGAGTTTGTCTCTTTCTTCCTGAAAAAGAGCTAACTTGCCTAAGAATATATCTTTCTCCTTATTTTGAGCAGAAACTTGGTTTTCCACATCTGCCAGAGACTTGGTGAGATGTTCAATGTTATCTCTGGCCAAAGACAACTCCTCTTGCAGACGTTTGTTTTCTTTTAGTACTTCTTTTCGGGAAATAAGGGCAGCTTGCAGTTTCCTCTGTATTTGTTGCTTTCCTTTACTTTCTTCTCCAATCTCTTCTGGTTTCTGCTTCATTTCACAAAGCTCCACCTGTAACTGCTTTATCTTCTCATCATGTTCTTTGGCTTGCATTTCCAGTTCTGTATGCAGAGCCTTCACTAAATCCTCTTGTTCTGTTATCTCTGTCTGTACTTTAGTAAGGGCTGTTTCCTTCTCACTAAGCTGTCCAGAAAGGTATCTAACTTCTTCTTCTTTTTTGCTTATGAGTTTTTGCAGTTCATCTAGTTCAGGCTGTAATTCTCTTAAATGTTCTAATCCAGTGATTTCTAGTTGACTGCTTTCCAGTTGTTGCCTCAGGCTTTCTGCGTGGGCTTCAGCTTCATGGGACGCTGCCTTCAGACTTTGGATTTCTAAATTCTGTTTATTTATCTGCTCTTGTAACTGAAATACCTCTTCTGATTTTTTAGTCAGCTCACTTATTGTAGAGCTAACCTTCAACTCTAACTCTTCTTTCTCAGCCTCTATTTCTTTCAGCTGTGTCTTAATCTGGGCAATAGCAGTATTGCCCTGCAGACCATTTGTATCTCCAGGATGAGAAGGCCAGTCTGGGCACAAGTCAGACTCTGAAGCCAGTTGAGCAGGTTGCTGCTCTGTGGCTTTGAATAAAGGTTCTTCTAAACCTTGAGTGGGAGAACCTGGAACCTGCTGGCCACTGCCTGGGAGTTTTCTGTCCGAAGATTCCTTTACTTGAATCTGTAGTTGCCTTAGTTGGTCCCCAATATTCTCATTTTCCTTGCTTTGCTCATCAAACTGTTCTTGCAAGCGATTATAGTCATCCTTCTGTTGCTTGAGCTCCTCCCGAAGATGTCTTTCTTTCTCCTGTGCCTTTTTTAGAATCACCTTGCGAGAGGTTAATACTTCCTGTAGCTTCTTTTGAAGTTGCTCCTTTTCTTTTTCAAGGTCCACTATTTTTTCTTCCAGTTCTGGTTTCCAGTGTTCTCCACTACCTGCACCAAGTGGACTGATGGCTGCTGCTACTTTTACAGGTGCTGCTGACTCTCCATCACCTGCATCCTTGTTACCTGTGGTTAACTTTTGGATAACTGTTTGGTTTTCAATGATTTCTGCTTGGAGCAGATCTATTTGGTTTGTCTTCTCTTGCAAATTCTGATTCATCTGTTTGACCACAGCCTGTAACTGTTCTTCAGCTGCTGCCTTTTCTTCCAAATCCTTCCTTACATGCTCTAGTTCCACTTCCTTCTCAGATATTACCTGTTTTAAAGATATTACCATTTCTATTTCTCGGCACTTAGAAGTCATACATTTTTCTGAGTCCTTTTTGCTTTCTTTATCTTCCTCCATTTCCCTCCTCTCACTCTCACTGAGTGGGGTGTCTTTCCTGGGTTCATCTTTCACTTTGGCCAATTCCTCTTCTAATCTACTGACTCTCTGTAGAAGTTCCTTTCTGTTAATAAGAGCAGCCTGGAGCTTTCTTTTTCTCTGCTCACTTTCTTTCTTTACAAGGTCTAATTCATACTGAAGTTCTTCTTTACTTAGCCCTACTGGGTTCAGCTCATCATAATTCTGTTTAATGCCAGAAACAGTTTCTTTATCTTCTTCCACCTGCTCTTTTTTGGCCTCTTCAGCTCTGGATAATAAATTCAGCTGTTCTTTAAGAGTCTTAATTTCAACCCCAAGAGAAAACTTCTCTTCATTAAGCTGAACCATTTTCTCCATCATACTAAAGCTGATTTCTGTCACTTGCTGATCCTTCTCCTTGATGGTTTGTTGGAGGATTTCCACATCTTTCTTTTTCTCTAGTAAGAGTTGGTCCATTTTTGCTATTTCAAGTTCCTTCTGTGAAAGAGCCTGTAAAAGTTCTTCCACCTTATTTGAGATATACCTCTCACGGTCTGCCCCCTCGAGCACTTCACTTTCCTTCTTCTGCAGCTGGCTCTGCAGGCTTTTGATCACTGTACTCTGCTCGGAAAACTGAACCTGCACATCATCAAGTTCGTTCTGTAAAACTTCAATCTTTACATCTTTAGTTTTGGCTTCTATGCTGAGACTGTGGATCTGTTCAGTGAGCAAGTTGTGATGAGCAGTCTGGCTTTCATAGTCAAGTCTTCTTTGCCTTTCTGCTTCTGCAAGGTTCACTTCCAGTTGCTGTACCTGAGCCCTCAGTTCCGTTACCACACTAAGTTCCTTCACCTGAGAAAGAAGCTGGTCTCTTTCTTCAGACAAAGCAGTGAATGCACTATTGGTGTTTTCAGCATTTTTCTTAAACTCTTCAATCAGCTGGGTTAGGCTGCCTATTTCCTTAGCTTTCTCAACTAAATTTTTCTCATAGATCTCTTCTGCTTTATGAAGGTTTAGCTCAAGCTCCAAAATTTGAGCTTTTAGCCTTTCCAATTCATCCTGGTGATACTGACAAATACCTGATACCATAGAAGGGGATTTATCATCATCCTGCTTTGCTGATTTTAATTCCATTCCAGTGTCACTTAAAGATATTTCCTCAGATGTTCTGTGTTGGTATTTGGTGCTCATCTGTTCTTCTTTCTCAGTTGTTGGAAGACCTCTCTCTTCATTTAGCATGGGGGGAAAATGTTGCCCTGTATCTTCAAGCAATACTGTCATTTTAACTGGAGGTATTCCTTCACTCTCTGTCTGTTTCATTTCTTTTTGGTCAGGGACCTCAGGGTCACTGTCTGCCCTTTTGTCTTGAAGCTGCAACTTAAGGAATGCAATCTCCTCTTGGGCTTCTTTCATTTCCAACAATAAAGTGGATAGTTCTTTATGCTTCTGAGAAAATGTGTTCTCCAGGACATCTTGTCCACTTTCCTCAGCAGAAGAGCTGCTCTTGTTGAGCCTGGCAATATCAACCATGCTCATCTGTTTTAAAAAAAAGAAAGAAAAAGCCTCAATCAAATGTTTTATAGAAAAGAGCCTAAGTAGGGACTTCCCTGGTGGTCCAGTGGTTAAGACTCCGCACTCTCAATGCAGGGGGCCCAGGTTCAATCCCTGGTCGGAGAACTAAGATCCCACATACCGCAACTAAGCCCTCACGCCACAACTACTGAGCCTGCACACTCTAGAGCCTGTGCACCGCAACTAGAGAAGCCTGCGTGCTGCAACGAAGACCCAACGCAGCCAAAATTATAAATTAATTAATTAATTAATTTTAAAAAATTAAGGGAAATACACCTAAAAGAAGGGGCCAGTCTACAGTATGTAGATGACATATTAATATGTAGTTCCCACCATGGAGGCCTCAGATCAGAATACCATTTAAGTCCTTAATTTCCTTGGGACCCAGGGTTACAGGATCTTTCAGAAAAAAGCACAAATCTCAAAGTAACAAGTTAAATATCTGGGATATATTATAAACCCTGGAAGCAGACAGCTATCTGCAGATAGAAAAGAAGCTATATTAGAACTAAGCACCCCAAAGACCAAAAAACAAATCCTCGTACTTTCTTAGGCATGGCAGGATTTTGCGGAATTTGGATTCCAGGATTCAGACTAATGGCTAAGCCTCTATATGAAGCCACTAAAGGCCCAGATACAGAGCCATTACTTTGGACTGGGGAACAAGAAAGGGCTCTTAATAAGATCAAACAGACCCTCACCAAAGCTTTTGCTCTGGGTCTCCCCAATTTAAAAAAGCCATTTATCTTGTATATAGCTGAAAAACAGGGGACAGCTATGGGAGTCCTTGTACAAAAGCTAGGAGAAGTTCCTCAACCTATAGGCTATTTTTCCAAACAACTAGATTCCATGGCCCAAGGTTGACATGGCTGCTTCCGGGCGGTAGCTGCCACTGCTTTATTAGTGGAAGAAGCTAACAAGCTTACCTTTGAACAGCCACTGGAAGTCCAGACCCCTCATCAAGTACAAAAGATTCTGGAAATTAAAGGCCACCATTAGCTAACTGGAGGCTGCCTTACTAAGTAGCAGGCTTTACTCCTTGACTCCCCAGAACTAACCCTCAAAACTTGCCACACCCTCAATCTGGCTACTCTAATGCTGGCTGAAGGCCCAGAACTAACACATTCCTGCCTTGAAACCCCTGACTAGGTTTATGCCTGTAGGCCTGGTCTAACAGACCAGGCCATAGAAAACCCTGAGGAAGAATGGTTTACTGATGGCAGTAGTTTCATTAAAGATGGAGTCAGGAGGGCAGGGTATGCTACTGTGAGCACTTATAGTGTTATATAAGCAAAACCTTTGCCACCTAACACTTCAGCCCAGAGGGCTGAGCTAATAGCCCTAACTTGAGCCTTAACATTGGGGGAAGGAAAATTATAAATATATATACAGACTCAAAATATGCCTTCTGGGCTTCCCTGGTGGCACAGTGGTTAAGAATCCGCCTGCCAGTGCAGGGGACACGGGTTCAAGCCCTGGTCTGGGAAGATCCCACATGCCGCGGAGCAACTAAGCCCGTGCACCACAACTACTGAGCCCACTGCCACAACTGTGTTATATAAGCAAAACCTTTGCCACCTAACACTTCAGCCCAGAGGGCTGAGCTAATAGCCCTAACTTGAGCCTTAACATTGGGGGAAGGAAAATTATAAATATATATACAGACTCAAAATATGCCTTCTGGGCTTCCCTGGTGGCACAGTGGTTAAGAATCCGCCTGCCAGTGCAGGGGACACGGGTTCAAGCCCTGGTCTGGGAAGATCCCACATGCCGCGGAGCAACTAAGCCCGTGCACCACAACTACTGAGCCCACATGCCACAACTACTGAAGCCCGCGCGCCTAGAGCCCGTGCTCCACAACAAGAGAAGCCCACGATGAGAAGCCCGCGCACTGTAACAAAGAGTAGCCCCCGCTCGCCGCAACTAGAGAAAGCCTGTGCGCAGCAATGAAGACCCAGTGCAGCCAAAAATAAATAAATAAAATGAATAAATTTTAAATATATATATATATATGCCTTCCTTGTTTTACATGCCCATGCAGCTAATCTGAAAAGAAAGAGGACTTTTAAATGCAAAAAATTCCACTGTAACATATGGGGCTGAGATATTACAACTCATAGAAGTGCTCAAAAATCAACACTAGTAGAAGTCATTCACTGCTGTGGGCACCAAAAGGAAAATTCTCAAATTACCTAAGGGAACAGGACACATCGGGAGGCAAAGAAAACAGCCCTGATGCCCATACCAGGTAGAAACCAACATTGAGAATATCTGACAACAAACCACCTGGTTTCAGCAGACAATTAACCACCAATCCTCACTATTCAATATGGGCAGAGAAACTGAAAACTGGTTCTCCAGTTTGTTCTCTTGGATACCACAAGGTATAAAAAGCTTTCTGGGGCTTCCCTAGTGGCGCAGTGGTTGAGGTCAGCCTGCCGATGCAGGGGACATGGGTTCGTGCGCCGGTCTGGCAAGATCCACCTGCTGCAGAGCGGCTAGGCCCGTGAGCCATGGCCGCTGAGCCTGCGGGTCCGGAGCCTGTGCTCTGCAACGGGAGAGGCCACAACAATGAGAGGCCCGCGTACTGCCAAAAAAAAAAAAAGCTTTCTGGCAGGTTTTTGTTTTCTCATAACCCTTTTCTTTTCAGTCATACTGATTTAGACTATATTTTGTCTAGTACTCTGTTGTCTTCCCTATTGTTGGAAACCTGTGACTAAGACTTTTCGGTCCAAAAAGGAGACCTAGGACGAACAGGTCCAGACCTTCCATTCTAAAAATAGAGAAACATGTTGAACTTTAACCCCAAGATTAACAAAAATATACACCCAAACAGAATGGCTTCTTGGCAGGGGCGACATTGCCTCCCCTGTCAGGTCAACAGTTAAGGAAGCCCTCCCAAAGTAACCTGGTTCCTTCCCTTCCTAGGGCCTTTAATGGCTATTGTTGTTTTTCTCCTTTATAGCCCTTGTTTGTTTAACCTTTTGATTGAGTTTGTGTCTTCTAGGCTCTGACAATTTGAAGTAAGGCTCATGATGGCTCAAGGAATTCAGCCCATTCCAGCAGAAAGTGGCCCAGGTCCCACAGGTCCTTGGGACAGTCAGCAAGAGACTTCTATACCTCTAGGGGCTAGGGTCTGTGGCCCCTGTCCCCTTATGCAAGAAGAAGTTTCAGAAGAAGAGACCTTCGGTCCCTTACCCCTTAAGAATAAGGGTGTAGAGTCTCTCAGCAGGGGATGAGACAGGCTGGGACCTGGGACCCTTTGCTGCAGTGCTGCAGTGCTTGCACCTGGACAAACATCTCTTCGAGCAACAAAATACAAAGAAACTATATGGGACTAAAAATAACTGTGTGCATGTGCAGTTGGGGCAAATTCGGGACCCAAAAGATAAAAAGAGACCAAAAACACCCAACTGCCACTTTTGAAGACCTTGGAGCAAAAACAGGGTATTGGGAGCAAAAGCAGGGTACTGAGCATATGCCACAACACCACCTTAGGGGTGGGCAAACCACCTAAGCCACCCCTCCAGCAAGATCCCTGGACACACCCCTACCCTCACCCCATATAAGGAACAAGCTTGCCTCCCCTCAGGGATCCAGCCAGCAAGGGAACCTGTTACTTGTTCTCACTTCCCCTTGTTGCCCCAATAAAGCCTTGCCCGAAACAAAATATGATAGAGGCCTAAGAATTGGCTAGACTAGACTAGAAAGCTCATAGACTAGAAAGCTCATAAATAGACCTATTAATCATTTGTTTTCAACATAGGTACCAAAGCAATCCAATGAGGAAAGTAGTCTTTTCAAGAAATGGTGCAGAGACAATTGGATATCCATATAGGGAAAAAAATAAAACTTGACCCTTATCTTACACCACACACAAAAATTTACTGAGGTTCAGAGACTTAACTGTGAAAGCTAAAACTATATAGCTTGTGGAAGAAAACATAAGAGAATATCTTCATGACTTGGGGTTAAGCAAAGGTTTCACACACAGGAGAAAGAAAATTATAACCAGAAAAAAAATGATAAATATGATAAATAATAGACTTTATCAAAATTTTAAATGTCTGCTAATTAAAGAACATCATGAAGAAAATGGATAAGAAGCAAGCCACGGGGACTTCCCTTGTGGTGCAGTGGATAAGACTCCGCGCTCCCAATGCAGGGGGCCCAGGTTCGATCCCTGGTCAGGGAACTAGATCCCAAATGAATGCTGCAAATAAGAGTTCACATGCCACAACTAAGGAGCCAGTGAGCCGCAACTAAGGAGTCCACGAGCTGTAACTAAGGAGCCCACCTGCCGCAACTAAGACCCGGTGGAACCAAATAAATAAATAAATAAATATTAAAAAAGAAATTCTACTTGTAATAAAAAATATTCAATATGTGATTTTCAATTTAAAAAAATTAAAAAAGAAAAAGAAGCAAGACACAGCATGGGAGAAAATATTTACCAAACATGCCTGATAATAAATTGGCATTCAGGATGTATAAAGAATTACTACAACTTGATAAATAGGCAAAAAACTCAATTTTTAAAATGAGGAAATGACATGAACAGATACTTCACCAAAAGAAGATATACAAATGTCCAAGAATCTCAAGTAAACATGTTCAACATCATTTGTCATAGGGGAGATGCAAATTGAAACCACACTGACCTACCACTACACACCCATTAAAATGGCTAAAATTTTAAAAATTGATAATACCAAACCTTAGAGAAGATGCAGAGCAACTAGAACTCTCATATATTTTAGGTGAGAGTATAAACAGTATAATCACTTTGGAACAAGATCCGGCATTTCCCTATAAAGCTAAATATATTCTTACTCTATGGCCCAGAAATTCCTCAACTAGCATTTAATGAAGACAAATGAAAACATATGTCCACACAAATACTTGTACAAGAATGTCCATAGCAGCTTAATTCGTAATACCCAAAGCATAAAAAGACCAGTTATCCATCAAAAGGAAATTATAGCACAGTCATGCAAAAGGAAAATACAGTATATTCATAAAATGGAATACTTCTCAGCAATATAAAAGAATAAATTATGATACATACGATAATATAAATGAATCTCAAAATATGCTGAGTGAAAGGAGTTTTCTACAAAATAACACAAATGTATGATTACATTTAAATGATATAAAACATGCAAAATTAATCTACGGTGAAAATATAGAACATTGGTTCATCTCTGGAGGGGAGGAATGCGGTTGAATGCAAAAGGGTACTTTGTAGGGTGATATATCTTGATAGGGATATGGGTAACGCATTTGACAACACTCAATGAATGGTACACTTAATACCTGTACATTTCATGTTTTGTAAATCTCACTTCAAAAGAAAAAGAACTATAAACAAATATTAAAATCTAGTCAATGATATGCATGCCGAAATATTTAGAGAAAAATGTACTGATGTCTACAACTTACTGTGAAATGTACAAAAAATTAAGATGAATTGGTAGATGGATAAATGGATAGATATATGATAAAGTAAATACAGTAAATATTAATAGAATCTAAATGGTGAGTATGCAGGTGTTCACTACAAAATTCTTTGAATTTTTGTTTTTATTTTTATTTTTTGTTTTTTTTAACATCTTTATTGGAGTATAATTGCTTTACAATAGTGTGCTAGTTTCTGCTTTTTAACAAAGTGAATCAACTATACATATACATTTATGCCCGTATCTCCTCCCTCTTGCGTCTCCCCGCAATCCTCCCCATCCCACCCCTCTAGGTGGTCACAAAGCACCGAGATGATCTCCCTGTGCTATGAGCCTGCTTCCCACTAGCTATCTATTTTACATTTGGTAGTGTATATATGTCCATGCCACTCTCTCACTTCTTCCCAGCTTACCCTTCCCCCTTCCCATGTCCTCAAGTCCATTCTCTTCCTGTCCTGCCCCTACATTCTTCAGAACCATTTTTTTTTTTTAGGAGCTGGAGGAGTCAGGCTCCCGGACTTCAGACTATACTACAAAGCTACAGTAATCAAGACAGTATGGTCCTGGCACAAAAACAGAAATATAGATCAATGGAACAAGACAGAAAGCCTAGAGATAAACCCATGCACATATGGTCACCTAATTTTTGATAAAGGAGGCAAGAATATACAACGGAGAAAAGACAGCCTCTTCAATAAGTGGTGCTGGGAAAACTGGGCAGCTGCATGTAAAAGAATGAAATTAGAACACTCCCTAACACCATACACAAAAATAAACTCAAAATGGATTAAACACATAAATGTAAGGCCAGACACTATAAAACTCTTAGAGGAAAACATAGGTCCAACACTTATGACATAAATCACAGCAAGATCTTTTTTGACCCACCTCCTAGAGAAATGGAAATAAAAACAAAAATAAACAAATGGGACCTAATGAAACTTAAAAGCACAGCAAAGGACCACAAACAAGATGAAAAGACAACCCTCAGAATGGGAGAAAATATTTGCAAATGAAGCAACTGACAAAGGATTAATCTCCAAATTTTACAAGCAGCTCATGCAGCTCAATATCAAAAAAAGAAACAACCCAATCCAAAAATGGGCAGAAGACCTAAATAGACATTTCTCCAAAGAAGATATACAGATCGCCAACAAACACATGAAAGGATGCTCAACATCACTGATCATTAGAGAAATGCAAATCAAAACTACAATGAGGTATCACCTCACACTGGTCAGAATGGCCATCATCAAAAAAATCTACAAACAATAAATGCTGGAGAGGGTGTGGAGAAAAGGGAACCCTCTTGCACTGCTGGTGGGAATGTAAATTGATACAGCTACTATGGAGAACAGTATGGAGGTTCCTTAAAAAACTAAAAATAGAACTACCATACAACCCAGCAATCCCACTACTGTGCATATACCCTGAGAAAACCATAATTCAAAAAGTCATATACCACAATGTTCATTGCAGCTCTATTTACAAGAGCCAGGACATGGAAGCAACCTAAGTGCCCACTGACAGATGAATGGATAAAGAAGATGTGGCACATATATACAATGGAATATTATTCAGCCATAAAAAGAAACAAAATTGAGTTATTTGTAGTGAGGTGGATGGCCCTAGAGTCTGTCATACAGAATGAAGTAAGTCAGAAAGAGAAAAATTCTGTATGCTGAAACATATATATGGAATCTGAATTTTTTAGAGTTGCTGAAAAATGTCTTAACAAAACACTGGAGGAAGAAGTTGAGAATGGAAGAATAGAAGAGATTGGAAAGCCTAGATGCTAAAAACCAGGAAGCAAAAATTTTTATCAGTGCACAGTACTGCCCAGGAACTATGGGACTCTGCTGACCAATATATCTGTCAGTTTGGAAAGGTATAATCTTATAATGGAGATGAATTAATCCAGTTATCCCAGCTTGACACTAGTTAATTACGATCATCAAACTAACTCTCCTTGTTCTGATATTCAAGCTCAATAAGCAGCCTTCTGGTGATTAAAATCTAGCTCCCCGGAGACTTTTATAGAAGGCAGAGAGAATATACTGGCCAATCAACAGGAAATTAAACTTTTTACTGTTAACTGATTAATGTGGGCATTATGATTTCTACAATAGACTTTTAAGTTTGGTTAGACTGAATTGTATACTTTAAACCTGATCAAATCTCAGTCTACCAAAAACAAAATTGATTTCTCAACTGGGAAAGCTAATTATAAGATTAAAATTAATGACTCATCTCCAATACAGAAAGGCTGTAGAGGTTAGAAAGGCTCTTGAGGTTATGCTGCTCATTGTCTACTTTTTTCTCATTATTCATTGTTGGGACACTACTGTCTTTCATGATTCCTTTCAAATAGAATTGGCTCCAAAAAAGCATTGTATCAGGCAGAAAAGAGAGAAGGCTTATACTGCTTTCTGGAATATATTCAATTAGAACACCCAAGTATAGATACAGCAAAGACAAATAGATCATATTCATAAGAAGTACACATTTAATTACCTGTGTGCCCTCGTTAGAAACATCTGGCAAAGAAGTCTGAGATGCTATTTCATGTTTTAGCAACGTTGCCTTATTTAGAAATTGGTTGATTTCTTCGGATTTTTCCTGGAGTTGATCTAAGGAAAAGAAAATAAAATTGAAATGATCTTTGCCTCAAGCCTGAAACTTAGTGAGTTAACTTCTAGGTATACACCATATGCTGTTTATTCTAGTTCCGTTATCTTAATTAAAATTACGATGCCAATACCATCATTTTTATAAATTGTTTAAATGCTCTCAAGGACCAAAGGACATCTCAGTAAACCTCCTTCAAAGGTAAAATAAAACAGGTCTAGGTATTTTTTTTTAAGTCATTTTTCCTTGCCCCCTTGAAAATGCCCTTAGCGTTTTTTAATTTTATTTTCTTCACTCTCCACGTAAGCATTATAAATCCTACTGAGATGTTTTAAACATGAACATGGTTCAATTAAGAGAACATCATGCTCATGTAACACACTGTTCCCATGTAATGTCCCTTAAGGCTTTCTGGTTAATGTTCAGCTCTCTTCAATACAGATCTTCAATTTAATGCTTTCTAAAATCTTTCCTGTATGCCAATCTTTTAGAATTAAACTAAATCAGAGGCATGTATTACTTTAATAATAACACATTTTTTAAGAAGTTTTCTTTAAAAAGAAATTTTCACCTATAAGAAAAGCATTCAGATCCATCTTTAGAAGTAAAGATGACTCCACGCAACTCAGTCTCCCTACCTTTGCAGCTAGATCTGGCCTGAGCTTTCCACAAATTAATTCAAATCCTACTCATTTCAGTCAGTGAACCCTTCAGACCACAGTTATGTTTCACATAGGGTTCTTTTTAATGTCTGACACATTACTATCAATAGTTTTTAGTACTATAATAATAATTTTATTAAGCCAGATTATAACTTCAGTCAGAGATGGGAGAAATGCAACGAAGAGTTCAGAAGAGACACCTTTCTTAATCATTCTATTCATTCAATTGGTTTAAGCAAATGATGTCACTAAGAGATCCCTGAAATTTTACAGGGATGCTAGACAAATGGGCTAGACAAATGGGCTTCAAACGAAATCAAATACTGACCTTCCAGCTGCTGAATGACCTGAGCTGAATGAGCTGCCTGTTCACTCTTATCTTGGAGAAGCTTTGAATTTTGATCCTTTAGGGCATCACAGGCAGACTGCAGCTCTTGTTCAGTCTTTTGAAGACTCAAAATGTGAGAGGTCTTCTCTGCCATTTCTGTTTTGTGCTTCTGCTCCAAAGCACTGTACCGGGACTGCAGTTCAGCCTGGGCTTGACCTGACTGTTCAAGCTGTTCTAGAAGATGATGCATTTCTTCCTGCAGGTTATGGAAAGATAGCTTTCTCTCTGCCACTTCAAGTTCCATCTTTTCCATCAGAATCTTGGACTCCTGTCTTTCTGTTTCTATAGTGTTCCTTAAAGTACTCTGCTCAGCTTCTATCTGCTGTAACTGCTGGGAGAAAATCTAAGAAAAAAAGACAAAGCCTCATGAACAATAAATTCATTCTTTCATTTCAATAAGCATAGTGAAGAGGCTCTTCTAGGTGAAGCCCAGGCCTAGACACTCAGGACCAAACCTACAATTCCATAAGACCCTCTGTTTTTGCTTCTTGATACTTTTGACAGTTTCTATTCATATATATATTTATTTGTGTCATTAGCTTTTCACTTATGTGTCTCCCAATACAAAATTAGTTCAATAAGGAAAGGGACTGTGTCTGTTTTATCATCACTGTTCTCCAGCATCTAGCATAATATATGGCATACTGGGTACGTGGTACTCAATAAATACTGAATAAATGGATCCACTCCCTGCCCTCAAGGAACTCAGAGTTTAGTGAGAGAGTCACACTTAAACAGATCATTATAATACAAAATATTAGAGGCCATGAGAGAGATACTTATAAGGTACTAAAAGGAGCAGAGAAGGGAAACTTACCATAAAGTCACACATATGTAACTATCTCCACAGTACCTATCTAGTAAGTAGCACAACTGGGATTTGAACCTGACTATTCAATGACAGCCAGAAAGGGGACTCAGGGTCAGGGTATGGGTTCTGTTAGAACTGAAGATATGGGAACATGTTTCTATGCAAGAAAGACAGTCGTTCTCAAGGAGAGTTGAAAATTAAGAAAGGATATGACTTTCTCCAGCAGCATGCAGGACCCAGATGAACAAGCAGAGAATGTAGACCATAGTACTGATTCCACATTAGGATTTGGTTCCCTGGATGTGAAGGGGCAGGGACACAGGGAATCCAAGGGCTGGTAAAGGAGTAGTCCAAATGGTCAGTCGCAGATCTATACCAGATAAGGAAAGGAGCGAGGCCAAGAAAGAACCAACATACCAGAGCAACACATGAAAGGATCAAGGAATCTTAATGAGAATGAAAGTCAGGACAGCCTAAGAAAGGGAATGACAGGATGGGCTACAGTCAGGGAATAGGATACCTGAATTTAAGATTTTAGAACATCAGCATCCTTAATCACCTTTAAATTTAAGGGAATATTGCATGGTAGGATTATTTCAAACCAACATAAAGTTAAACAACAAAACAAACAAAGAAGGGACAGTACATAAAGCACAAGAACCATTGAAGACAGAGAAGGGGTAAACTGACAGAAAAGAAACTCCTTAGAGGAAAATATGACATTCTAAAGAAACTAGGACCCTAGACCTAAAATCACAAAGGAAAAGAGCAACAATAAAAGATGTGAAATGTAAGCCTCATAAGGGAAGGAACTGTATATATTTTGCTCATCACAGTATCACCACCACTTAAGCACAGGGAACTTGTTGAAAGAATGAATAAATGGCATCAATTCTCTGAAGGCTTTTAACAGGATTTTATACCTGCTGCCTGGCAAACTAAAGTGGAAATGAATACTCCCAAGACAGGTAGTAGAGATCACAAGGCAGTACCTGGTTTCTCTGTTCGGCAGCAGTCAGCTCCTGTTGCAGCAGGTCCACAACCTGAGCACGGCCCAACAAGGCTTCTTCATGCTCCTCAAGCTTCCTCTGCAGCACCCTCAATTTCTGAGAAGAAAACGTTTAGACATAATGTGCTAACACATGAGCATCATTATCTGCTTACCTTTCAAAATGTCAGGTAGACTTGTGTACTTAAGATTTTTAGATGTTGAGGATGACAGGTTAAAGGGCTGGACACCAGCATGCCATGCTTCCCATTCAGCAGCAACAAAGAATCTCCAAAAATGTCTTCTTCAGAGCACCAACAACAACCAAACTGACACAAGGAAGTCCCTGAATTAGGGAATCTTTTTAATAATTAGATATTTATTACACATATCCACTTTTAAAATTATATAGTCACGTTCTGTACCTAAATAACATAGGTACACGTATATCCCACTCACCAAAGAGAATATTCTCTATAGGCAAGAACCATTTCTCTTCTAGTTTCATGCATGGGACAGTCACTTGATAAACATTTGTTGAATGAATAAGTCAATTATACAGGTACATATTAATATACTCCTTTAAAAAGTGCTATATAAATTAACTTTATTTAGTGGTATATTCTGAAGGATTGCCTAGAATTTGGAAGAAGTTTTCACTCAAAAACAGTTAAATGAATCAGCTATGAAATACCACTGGAGGGGTACCACACTGTACTACATACTAAACAGAAACAGATACTTTTGAGTTAGTCGATGATAAACTTAAAAACAATGAAGCCAATTTTCAAAAATTACTCAATGAATTAAAAATAATGAATGAGTTAATAGAAGACCTTATGGCTTCAAAATCACTGCTTTTTATCTTTAAATTTTCTAAAGTGTAAAACTGACTTCATTGTTTTTGAAGCTTTGGATCAGGTTTTCAATGCACAAAGGTAGCTACAATCAGCAAACTGAAGAGAAACCAATTTCTGACTACCACATACATTTGCCAATTAAACTCAGCTTTTGAGTAGTGACATCCTGATTAGAGGGGTAAGAGGCAAGGTAAGGGAAAATAAATAAGCAATATGCAACAGAAGAGAAGAACACCGAAAAGAAGGCAATTAATGAGCAAACCCAGACCAAGTGAAGAGCAGTGGGTAAGGGTGGAAAAGTGGCTGTGATAACTTAATTAAATGTTAACCGAAACTACAATCATTCTACTAGGTTTTAGCAACACACCTGTTGCATCTCTGTTTCCACATCTGCCTGGGTTACTAACTGAAGAAGCTCATCTTCATGAAGACGAACTTGTGTCTCAAAGCGGGCATCTTTCTCTCGGACCACCTGCTGCATGGAACTCAACTGAAGACACACACCAGAGAAACTATACAAGTTACACTCCCAGAATATCACACAAACAAAACTCACAGACTATTCTCCAAACACAGACACTGAGAATTGATAGACAATAAGGTTTTCAGATTAAATTTTGAATGCCAAGGATGAGAATTTTGGAAGAGAGATAGGCTTTGATGCTAACTTCGGAATGAGAGAGAAAGCCTACCATCAAATTCAGAAGTCAGCCTAAACATAAATTTTGAATAAAAACTGTATTTGCATGGTTAATAGAAGTGTTTAAATATACAAGAGGTATATTTTTAAAAGATCTAAGGAGATTAGAATATTAAAGATACAAAGTTAGATTCCTGTTAAGCCCTAGACAATTCTTTGAATATCACACTCACGCTCAAAAACTTTCAGTTTATAAATATAAACTTCAAACTAATGCATCTTTTACTCAAGATTCTCTACAACTGGAAACACAAATCTTTCTTTCAGATCTCATTTTCAAAGAATTGCTTCTACCAAAGAACTCGGTATATTTCCATCCAAATCCACACCACCTCCCCAGACAGCTATTTTCAACTGTCATTACTTTCAGGCTTCTAGATCACCCTCATTTGTAACTGGCTCTTAACAAAATGAAATGGAAATAAATTGACTGGTTGTGAATTGCTCAGTAGCAGTGTTTTTGTTTTGTTCATAGGTTGTGTGCATGCGTGTGTGTGTGTGTGTGTGTGCACGCATGCACACCTGCTTATTCATTTCCTTAAGATCTGTGGTTAAGCATGCCAAACAGCTCTTCGTGTGTCCATTTTGCACAGGTCCTTCAACTACTGTTGATTTTTCAATTTGTGACACCTTGAACCAACCTTGGCTCTCCTTCGAGGTAGGAGAAAAAAAATCTTCATAAATCTTTGATTATCTGAATTCTGAAATCACTATGAATTTGAAATCCTATGTTTCAAATGTATACGCATTGGAGTCCTTCATGAGCCAAACACATCTACACATCCTTTCCCATAAATGTACCATATTCTTTTTCCTGAGACTTTGCTTACAGCATTCCCCACAATTGGAATACCTTTCCCCACCTTGTTGAAACTATATTATCTATCCATCATAGTTTTATCTAAATCCTGAGTTTTCCATGTAACCTTCCTTGGTTGTCACATGCAAGTAACCCCTTTGACCTCTCAAAATACTTTCAGTTTGTATTGTTGTTTGCGATGCACATTCTGAATGGCTTGTATTGTGATGAATTTGTTAATTCACATAAATGTATTAACGGATCCATCATAGTGTGTGTGTGTGTGTGTGTGTGTGTGTGTGTGTGTATCTTGGCTTGCCATGTTTTAAGCCACTCGGTAAAAATATTTTGTATTTCTCCATCCTACATTGTATAAAGTGTACAAAAAAGGACACAATAAAAGCTAATAGGTAAAACTAAGGATTTTAGGATATCCAGTTTTAAATGTATACACAGCAGTGGGTCATCCACAGACAGAGAGCACCACTAATACTACAAGTTATCAATAAAGTAAACACAAAACACCCAATGGATAAGATTAGCTATTATACAAAGGCACTTGAGGGAAAAGAGAAAAAAAAATGTTTCTTAAGTCAAAAGCATTCCCAAAGGAAAAATATGAGTGGGTGGTCAAACTGGAAATTTAGAAAAATAGAGATAAAGAGTTGAGGATGCCAGTCCAAACAGTCTGGTCCTGGTAGCAGAAATAACTATGAAGAAGAAAGTCACATACTGGTGCCTTTTAACATTGAATCACATAACCTATACCACTTTCTCATTACATAATCACTAAGTAATGTTCTGACTATAACTTAACTTATCATTAAGATTTTACTATAAAGAAATAATGGACCTAATCACTTGTATTTCTTTTGGTTTATCTAACAGTCTCTTTTGAACTTAGCATAAGCTCATTCCTTCCTAAAAGACAGAATCTCTGTGTGCTATTAAAACCAAGTTTCTGGGCCTGTAGAACTAAGAAACAGCCATAAATTAAGCTATGGTGTATTCATCAAGGTAAATAACACTTCTAATTTCTTCTACTATCACACCCTTCTAATTTCTACTTTAATATTCTAGCTACTATACTTTCATCTACTAAAGTTTTAAAAATAGACTGTCTGAATTGACTTGTCATGTAATAATCTTAAACTTTCATGATTCTTTATTCTAATGATTCTGAGGTACCTTCCACCCTACCTGAGCAGCTTGCTCTGCCTGTGTCTGGCTGAGCTGGGTTTGCAAAGTGCTAATGAGTTCCTCCTTCTCTTGGAGCTGTTTCTTCATCATTAAAAATTCTTCCATCTCTGTTGAACTCTTAGCAAACTGAAGACATAGAAGAAAAAAATATTTAAGCAAAAGAATTGGCACTCTTAATTCTTGGACCTCCCTTTCTCATTTGCCCTAAATACCTACCAATATCCTTCTAATTTCTGCTTAACATTGAAGGGAATTGATGTACTGTGGGGTTTTTTTTTTAAATTATCCAAATTATTTGTCAGAGGAAAACAGAAACAATAGCAGCAGCTGTTCTCTGAATCCTCACATAGAACCAGACAGTACAACTAGATAATAAAATCAAAAACCCATGGACAATATTTACAATAAATTAGGAAGGTAGTACCACAAACCCCAAAATACAAGTAGGTAGAGACAAGCCACCAAAAGACTCTGGTATTAGAGTCTGTACAATAGGAAGAAGGCAGCGACAGAGCAACATCTGATGGCCTTGAGAACAGGAAAACCTCCAAATAGCCAGTAAATTCTTATTGGAAAGCACAGTTGGCCAATCTTAGAACAACAGCTTAAATTGGCAGGGCTTTCCCATTCTCCAATACTGGCTGAATGCAAGGGCTCCACAGAAAAAAGGACAGAAGTGCTAGAACAATCTGGCCCAGCTGAAGTCTCAAAACTAACTCATCAGGGCTGCCTTCCAAGACAACGACTGCACCAAGAAAAGACTTCTAGGTGTGAAATAGAAATTAAACAGAATAGGGATAACAGAAATAGAAGACAAAGGGCTATACACGTGCTATAGTATTCATTATCAACTATGATATATTCATATATCAATTCATGTGGCTATCAAGGGCTTGAAATATGCTTAATGTAAATGAGAAATTTAATTATTAATATTATTTAATTTTAATTAACTTAAGTATAAATTATTTTTCCATTAACTATAATTGTGTTTTGGTATGATTATATTTCACTTTACTTGTTGCATCACATAATATACTGCTGAATTGTTGTGCAAGTAATAAGTGTGCATGTTGCTCCTAGTGTTAACAATAAACATACCAGCTATCTAGCCAGTGGCAATGGATTGATTCCATTTAAATAATTTTTTTCCTACACACCTATGTGATGTGTTTATTAGAATATTTTATGCAGAGAGCATGAATAACAGTTGATACCTATGTAAATCATAATTGATAATTAAAATATAAATACTTATTTTTATTGAATTATTTTTCTAGTTCAAAAATAAGTATAGACACACTTTTAAGTTTAAAATAAAGGTGTACTACCGATGCATAGTTCATTCCTTTTTATTTCTAAGTAGTATTCCATTGTGTGTTTAAATATTCCCCTGTTGATAGACACGTTATTTCTAGTTTTTGGTTTCACAAGTAAAGCTGCTATGAACATGCATATACAAGTCTTTATGTGGACATGTGCTTTCATTTCTCACAGATGTAGCTTTAAAGCTGATATGTTTTTCAAAGTCAAATTAACAATTCTAAATAATTAACCAGTTTCTAAACGTGGATGCAAATATTAAAGGAAAATGACGTTTCAGCACTCAGTTCAGTTATTAGAAAGTTTCTATATATGTATGGAACAACTTGAGTATATGAATCTATTTTCTCAGCTGGAAATTTTATGAAATCTAAACACAGATGAAGTATTTCCAATGAAAACTTAGCATCCAAATTGATATATAATATAAAATACACACCAAATTTCAGACTTAGTGCAGAAAAAAGATTATAAATTTACACAAAAATAATTTTATATTAATGTTAAAAGTATATTTTTAATAAATTGAACTCAATGAAATATATTGTTAAAATTAAGTTTACCTGTTTCTTCTTTACTTTTTGTAATGTAGCTGCTAAAAAATTTAAAATTATACACATGACCCACATTATATTACTACTGAGCCAGTTTGGTATGGACCAGAGTGAAGGGCAGGAAGAAGAAAGCCAGGAAATCTCAGAAATCCACCTGCCTTATCTTTGAACACAACACAAAAACAACAAAAGAAAAAAGTCTGTTAAATAAAAAAAGTTTTCCTGAATCAAGCCTCCTTCTAAAAGTTTAGGAAAATTAATTTCACACAAAAATAAGAAACATAAAATGATCAAGGTCAAATCCCATCCAAAGTTATTATTAAAAAAAAGAAAACTAAGGAGCAGGTGAGAAAAGCATACCATAGGCATGCTCAAAAAACAAATCGAGTATGGATACCAAAGGGGGAAGTGGGGACAGGATGGATTGTGAGATTGGGATTAACATATATACACTACTATGTATAAAATAGATAACTAATGAGAACCAACTGTATAGCATAGGGAACTCTACTCAGTGCTCTGTGGTGACCTAAATGGGAAGGAAATCCAAAAGAAAGGGGATATAAGTATACATATAGCTTATTCACTTTGCTGTAGAAACTAACACTACATTGTAAAGCAACTATACTCCAAAAAAAGTAATTAATTAATTTAAAAAAAATCAAAATTGCAATTTATTTCAACAGGTGTTAAAAAATTAAATTATACAAGACATGAAAGAATAAAATTAAAAAATGAGAATTAGAAAAACTCAGAAATGAGGTGACAGAATTCATGAAAACTTTGATTCTTCTGAATCAAAATGACTTCTGAAAATTCATTTCAGAAAAGAACACAAAACAAGAAGGAACACAAAAGTAAATAAACATAAAATAGAATGCCTTAAATAAAATATGAAAAAAAAGGAAGAAACTTTTGAAAATGAAGAGGTAAAAAGGAACCAAAAGTGACAAAATGGAAGATAATCAAAGATAGAACATATGGATAATAGAAGTCCCCAAAGAAGAAAACAGACTAAATATTACAGCTATATAATTCAAGAAAACTCTTCTGAAATAAAAATGTGCAAAACCAAATACTGAAAAAGCATACTGGGTATCTACAAATATCAACCATGGATGACAAACACCAATGCACAGTCTAGTAAAATTACTAGACTTAGTGGGGAAGGAAGGAAGGGAGGAAAGAGAAGGAAAAGGAAGAAGGAAGGAAGGAAATTGATAGATTCATAGACAAATATTATAGAACTAATGTTATTAGTCATATAATAATCCATTGGGCTTTAGTGATTTGTTAACTTAATGATTATGAGGTGACTTACACCCCTACCTGTGTAGCTTGCTCTGCCTGTGCCTGGCTAAGCTGGGCTTGCAAACTGCTAATTAGTTCCTCCTTCTCCTGGAGTTTATGTTTTATCTTTTCTACTTCCATCTCTTCTTCTGTAGAACTCTTGTCATGCTGAAAACGCAGGAGATAAAGTCATTTAAATAAAAGAATCTAATTTGCCCTATACAGCCATTTGATTATAGTGTTATCCAACTAATGGGAGCAAAAAATAACACCTGACCTAGCAACAAGGAAGGAATCTTAGAGTTTTCCAGTTTCAGTATGGCCAAGTAGTTCCTATTAGAACCATCCTCCCTCAGATAACCACTATAAACTGGACAATATAGAAAAACAGCTATCTGAAAATGCTGGAGAACAACCAAAAGCAGGAAGATACCAGAAGGGAGTCAATACTTGGAAGAAATGGCACCATGTTTCCCATTTTTATAGATTTTAGTCTGAGGACAAAACCAGTCTGTGACATACAGGACTAAAACATAACAGTCTCACTGCCTTGAAGAACAAGAGGACAGAATTCAGGAAAACACAGCTGCTAAGTGAGGGGCAAAGCATCATAAAAGAGACAGTGGCAGGGAGGGGGGAGGAATTCAAATATTTCAATAATCTATTTTTTCCCAAAATCTATTCCTTCAACTGAACCAGATTCTACCTCCCATCTGAAGTCACCACCAGCCCCTACCCCCCAAAATGAACCTAGCCTGCTTATTGGAACCACACAGAATAATTTTACACTTTCTTCCACATAATAGTCAAGTATCTGAGGACTGCCATCATTTCTTCAACTACGCTTTCCAGAGACTATCAAGCTCTGTCATGGGTATACAATAGTTAAAGAGCTGCTGTGACTGATTGCTGGAACTTAGAAATCATTTAATCCAACCCTTTTATTTAACAGAGGAAGGAAATGAAGCTACAAGATGATAATTTGTTTAAGGTCTCAGAGCTTTAAAAAAAAAAAAAGAAGGCAGAGTATAAAAGGGATGATTTAAAAATCTAACAACATAGCAGAGGGAAAAGTTAAAAGAAACAAAGCCACATGAGGAGAGACAGGTTGGTGCTACCACAGCCAGGGGGAAGAAAGAATAATGAGAGGAAAAAAACAAAAAGTAAGAAAAGAAGAATCAAAATGAATACATTAGTTGAGAAGAGTAAAAGAAGCTTCTAAAATAAGCTTTGAGAGGTTAAATAAGGCTATCAATTAAGGAAAAGTAGTATCTTCTGAGCATTACACCCAGGAAGGAAAGACGAACCACAGTACTAGTGAGCTAACTAGTGACCCCAAAGGTTGTGCCTAGAGAATTGATTAAAATCTCATTTCCCAAGGATTTTTTGTGAATAAGAATACTAGTGGGTCAAAAAATAAAACAGGGTGAAATCTAAGAAAAAATTAAAAGGTTTCTTATGCAGAGTTACACCTAAGCCAACTGGTAATGTGTACTGTGATGTGCTGGCCTCTCTGTATTCTATACCAAACTCTCCAAACAACTGAAGTTTCTTGTTCTCTAACTAGCTGACTGAATGTGAATATTTGGGGTTTAACCATAGAGGAAAGGTAATAAGAACAAGTATTAGGACAATGCTCTATTCCTTAAAAGGCATAGGCACTTTCCTCACTCCTCTCTCCATCCCCAACCTTGGAAGTTTTTGTTGGTGGCAGTTATAAACCTAGAGAGCATCACTTAGAGGAGCCCAAAGTAATCTAGCTGATTAAGCCCACAATGCATGAAACTTTAATATACTATTATGTGGCCATATAAAGACAAAGAATATTCTGTATCAAGTCACTGAACTAAAGAATTTCAGAGGTGGGAGAAACCTTAGAGTTCACCTAGTTTAATCTTCTAACTAAAGATAAAACTCCTCCAAAAGCTATGTGCCTCTCCTACTTAAATGCCTCAATTTAATTTTTGTTTCTTCCTGTTAGCCTTTTTAACTCCCTGAAAGTCTAGGTCACAACTAATATTTAATTTCCATATGTTCTGTTGGCCTTTTATTCTGTGTTTGGCCCATAGCCCAGCTAGACTGCAAGTTCAAAAAGAAAGGACAGTACTGGGGACTTCCCTGGTGGTCCAGTGGCTAAGACACTGAGCTCACAATGGAGGGGGCCTGGGTTCGATCCCTGGTCAGGGAACTAGATCCCACATGTCACTACTAAGAGTTTGCAGGCCGCAACTAAAGATCCTGCATGCCGCAAATAAAAGATCCCACATGCCGCACGAAGATCCCATGTGCTGCAACTAAGACCCAGCACAGCCAAATAAATAAATAATTTTTTTTTTTTAAAAAAAGGACTGCACTGGGTTTCCCTGGCGGTGCAGTGGTTGAGAGTCTGCCTGCCGATGCAGGGGACACGGG